TTTATTAATCGCTTTCCCCAGTGGGCTCAAAGCGATGTACAGTTACTCAAATATAGACAAGGGACTAACAATGTTGTAGGGGATAGGGAAGGACAACATATATATTCATTTTAACTGCACACGCCGATACTGCCCCGGTGTAGAACGTCTTCTTGGCTGGCTTCGTCGTTTTCCGGCACGGCTGCTTGCTGCTCAGGCTCCAGGACCCGTATGTCTGTCGCCACACTGCCACCGCCTGGCCGGAACGTCCGTTGCAGGAGTTCGATCTGTAGCCGGCAAGCTGTTTTGCCTTTACAAGCCGTGACCATCGACGTTCGACCGTCAGCTAACGCCCTCCCAGAAGGAAGATTGGCGTGCCTGCCCTCGCTAAGGAGCGGTTCCCATTTTATCTACTCGCCAGAGCTTTCGAATCGCTGGGTGGACGATGAGCTGGGGACAACAGGCTGGCTGCTCACACCAGCGCGGGGCCTGAACTGACACAGTTCAGATGTTAAGGCAGTGGGATATACCCACTGTGCCACCGCTCCCCTTTATTTGAGATTTGCATCAGTAGCCTTTCCATTGTGAGATAATCCCATATGTTCCTGTACCAACTCTTAAGAAATGGGGGTGAGGGAGATTTCCTGATATCTAGATGGAATGGAGGTGAAGAGTGCTTATCTTGAACCACAACTGCAGCATCTTTCATGGCCCAGGACTTTGCAGTCTTGGATCACTCAAGATGTACTTCTGGGTACGACGCGGCGACGGGCGGAGCTCGGAATGCTCCGAGACGCCCGAGTCCATTTCGCTTCGTTTGAGGCCTCCCGGAGCTCGGGAGAGCCTTGCCAGATCTCCCGGAGAGAGATCTGGAGCAGGGGGCTCAGCGGTGGCCCCTCCCATGACAGGCAAAGCGGGGGGATGTCCACTGTTTGCTCCAATGCAGGAGCGGTCTTGTGAAGGGGAACATGGCTGCCATGTTCCTCATAGCTGCTGCCTTCCGGTTTTTACCTATATTTAAATACGTGTGGATTACAAACATAGCAATGAAGAAATAAGACTCATAGACCTGCAAGTACATGCATCTTTAACTTGAGAGTTTGGAAGCCCCGAATTGGTTGATGCAAACGGAAAAACAAAGCGGCCAGAAAAGAGAGAAAGCTAAGTGTATTTTTTTTTCTCTCCTCTTTCTTTCGGGGAAAATTTTGTTGTTCTCTTGGGATGGGACTACTGATATGAGAGACTTTCGTAACTAAGACTGAATCAATTTGTGTGAAAATGGCATTCGAAGGGGGAAACGAGATAGAGAATGAAATGGATGACGATATGCTGGTTGGAGAAATGACGATGGAGCAGTTCTTAAAGGTTCTAAAAGAAGGAATTCAAGAGGGTATTAAAGCAGCCTTTGCAAGCTTTCACGAAACCCCCATGGCAACAGAGAGTTCTGGAAATATGGAAAAGCGTGTACAGGGTCCAGAGAGTACAGAGCAGACTCGGGGGGTCCAGCAAGAAAAAGAAGGTACAGAGCAGCTAAATACACCAAGGCAAACCAAAAAAACAACTAAGAGGAGTCAACTGACGAGAGAGAAAATAAAAGGAAAAGGAAGGATGCCTAAAGAGAAGAAAAAGTGGAAAAGGGAAAGACAAGACAGAAATGTGTGGAAGGATAAAAAGGCCAGAAGGGTAGGAAGACAGACATTTTCAAAAAATATTGAGGAGAGACTGGAAGTGAATTATCATCTGTGCAAAGGAAAAGAACACATAGATAATCTACTCTGGAAAAAGAACTTGATTCATAGAAGGCAATGTAAATTATATGAATTATTATTTGATTGATATATCATAATAGGTTTTTAAAATGGATTGATTGGACCAGAGTTAATTGACGTTAGGTTATAGATTATAGTGCTAAGTGTTAGTGGGGGGAAATTAAAGGGATTGGTATTAAATGATTGGTGTAAAGTAAAAAGAGTCACTAAAATAATTCTTTCTGTTTTATATATGGTTTTTTGAAGTGCTCTTTTTCTTTCTTTATCTTCATTGTGATAATTTTTGTGAATGTATGTAATTTTGAATGAATTGATTACTAGATTGTCAAGCTACAGAAAATAATGGTAACAATGGAAAGCTATGGGTAGGAATGAGATAGTAATGTTGGGAGATAGTAAAAGGAGAAAAAATCATGAACCATTCTAAAGTGGGAGGGACAAGTAAATATTTGTGTTAGGTATAATTTTCTCCTCTTGGTGTGGAAATGTATAAAATGGCATGAAATGAATTGATTAATGGTTATGGTGGAATGTCTAAATGGGAATGAACTGATTTGATTAAGGTTAAAATGTATATATAGTGCCTTGATTACTGTCTCCTATGGGAAAGTGTACAAATGAGCGTAGAATATTAGATATTATATTTTTTAGAGGTGAATGATACTAAAGAACAATCCTGACCTCAATAGGTGGGAAGTAAATAAAGGAATAAAAATTAAAATAAAATAAAAATAAAGTTAATTTAAAACGGTATAAAAAATGATAGGTAAATTACTATTGTTTGGTGGAATAAGTGGAAACTTTCTCAGAGGTCTGTCTTAAGAAAATAACGTGGATAAAGATAATTATAAAATATTATTAGTGGATGCTTGTACTTGAAAATTGTCCTAGTCAGTAATTTGATTAGAAGGAAAATGTAATGTTGCTGTCTAAAACAGGCTTTGTTGCTGTCTAAAACATATTTATATAAGGTATTAATCAGATGAATTGTTTATTCAAATTATATTAGAGGTGTATGCATTGTATTGAAAACCCAATAAAAATATATTTTAAAAAAAAATGTTCGTTTCTCGCAGCTGACTTGAAGCATTTCAGAACGAAAAGCCAGCACGGTGTAATGGCTTGAGTGTCAAACTAGGATATGGTAGACCCAGGTTTGAATCCCTCACTCTTCCACAGCAGCTTCAGCAGGGTGACCTTCGTCACTCTCTCTCTTCACCTAGACTACTTCATGGTGTTGTTGGAGGAGGGGAGAACAATGTTGTAAACCACTTTGGGTTGCCACTGGGAAGAAAGAAGGGTAGAGCATCCAAGTAAAATAAAGATGTGACGTTAGCATTAGGTTGGCTGGAGGCCACCATTTGGTGACAGTGTGCAGCTAGCCCAAATGATCTTAGAAAGTCATGCTGTGTTGTTCCACAGGTCGTGGTCAGGGTAAATTCTCAAAGGATCACCAACGCCCAAACCAGATCCATGTTTATTTTATTTATTTATTTATTTTATTGTATTTATACCCCACCCTCCCCGCGAACGGTTTAATATGAGTAAACATGGTTTGGACCTTTTTTATATGGTATACTGGCAAACAAGTCAAATAAACAAATAAATAAATAAAACACTCTGGTATGCAAAAATGTTCCATGCTCACCTTATGGAGGTTGCTGCCGCAGGCATATTCAAGGTTACTGAGGTGAAACTGCAGGACTTTTTCCTCCAGTTCACTGAACTGGATACCAGATTCCTGAATGAAAACTTTATAGATCTCTTGGATTTTATCTGCAATGTAAGACAACATTCCAGTTACCAATAATTGCTCATTTTTCTTAGACCCTCATCTGCAGTAACCCGAATTTAGTATGCCCATAATGCATTCGGCTTTAGTGTTAAAGTGTTTTGTCAAAACTGAGCACCCTTTTACAAGCATATTCGTATAAATATTACAAGAACTGGACTTGTTTGGGACATCTAATTTCTTCTCCTTCACTATTTCTTCTTTCTTTTCCCTGAAAACCCCATAGCATATCCCCTGTTCCTGATTCTTTCCCTCCTTCCCACCCACCAGCCCATCTATCTACTTTTATCTGTCCCCTTGAGTTCAGCTTTCCCTCCTTCACTCCCCAGGCAGCTTCTATCCAGAAAAGCTATGGCTGAGTTGTACAAATGCTGGCCACTGGGCCCAAATCTGTGGAGCGGAACACCCACAAGGACTTGCAGTGCGCAGCACACTTTCTCCCGTATTCCCCCCCCCACATGCTATTTCCTCCTCCTGACAGCCTCCATATCCTCGCTCTTCCCTTCTTCCTTCTCTCCTTTCAACATACCTGTATTTTACCCCCCCCCCATTGTTGGCTATATTTATTTACTTCATTTATACCTCACATTTCTCCCCAGTGGGAACCCAAAGCAGCTCACATCATTCTCCTCTCCTTCATTTTACACTCACACCAACCCTGTGACTACCTCAGTGGCTCAGTGTCACGCAATGAGCTTCAACAGCAGAATGGGGATTCAGATCCTAGTCAGATCCTAGTCAGATCCTAGTCAGAAACTCTAACCACTGTATCACACTGGCTTTTGTAGGGGATGGCTGCTGTTGAATAGTAGCATGCAGCCAGTCCTGGTTGAGTCATGCAAGTTGCATAGTATCAAGTCACCTGGTGGTTGCTGTTAGGCCTGGCCCCGATGGGTTCTCCCTTAAGGCCCCTACCACTTTCCCTGCCTTTTACTGATACTCAGTGGCATAGCAACACCCATTTCTTAAAGGTACAGGCGCTGTTTCTATTATTGGGGGGGGTTAATGCACACACCCAGTGTATTTTGTTGCTACATTTCTCTCTCTCTCAAAGTTCTGTTCATCCATGGCTCCAATCTCTTGGTTTAAGTACCCACAGATCTGGCCATGTTGAGAGTTATATATACTGATGGGCACAATCTAACCACACTTCAAAGTGCTTAAGTCCCATTGATTCTAACGACAGAGTTAAGCACACGCTTAAATCTACTTCCACTGAAATCAATGGGACTACAAAGTGTGCTTAATGTTAGTTGTATTATGCAGATTGCACAAAAGAACTTTCTCATATCATTGGGCTAACAGCTACTTATGAAGCGGTCAACCTAGCGAACCTAATATGAGATCCCTTTTATTTTCAAGGACCAGCATGCTTTGCACAATATCCCCATTGCCTATGCTCAAAGTATACTAAGTCAGTGATACTCAGTGGCTCGGGTAGCGCATGTGGTTCTCTGAGATGCCACCTGTGGCTATTCTGAGTGCCATTACCTGATGTGGCACCTGCTCCGTGTTTCAGGAAAGTGGGCAAGTCTCATGTCCAATGGAGCTTGTGGTGACATGTGGTTCCCACCTTAGAACAACCACCATCGGAGAAACAGGTAAGCTGTGAGCCTCCTTGAAGTGCAGGCCTCATTTTAGGGACAAAGTTTCCTCTAAGCTGTGCTAGAGGGTGCTGGCACACAACATTTTAGCCAGCAGTGCAGGGATTTTTGCCTCAGACCATGAGTGAACTTAGAAGGCATTTTACCCCTCCACTGGAAACAATGGAGGATGGGGCACCTCCTTCTGGGGTCCAAAAATTGGACCCCCCGGTCCAATCTTTTTGAAACCTGGTGAGTTTCTTGAGGAGAGGCACCAGCAACTATCCTGCAAATTTGGTGCCTCTACCTCAACAAAAAAAACCCCAACCAGATACCTCTGAATTCATTCTCCATTATAGCCTATGGGGCCCATTGAGTTTAATGGCCCCCATAAGCTATAATGGAGCCGGGGGAAAGTTTCAGGTTTTTTGCACACCCTTATTATGCTTTTCAGTATGATCTGTAAACTGCTTTGAATCACATGGAAAGGTAGGATATAGTGGAATGGGGCGGGTAGACCTGTTCTCTGGAGGTTTTGGTCTACCCCCGTAGAGGACAACATTTTCTGTAATGAAATTTGACTTGATTCTGTTTTCTCTTACAATGTTTACATTATTTTTAAAATATAGTTTAAATATAGTATAAAGAATTCATTCTGAGATTTTTACAAGGCTACGGAAATAATCTTCTAAAAAACCAATTTGGCTAGATTTAGTCCAGGGCTCTCAATCCAAAAAAATCTTTGACTAAACAAGCATTATTCAAACAACAATGGGTAGCAAAAAAGCATTCTTTGATTTTAGATCAAGGACACAGATGTTATAGCATATATAGCATTCCCTTCCATTTGAGAAAGAAGGAATTAATTTTCTAAGATGGCATCTATGAACTGAAAATAGCTAAGAATTGTTTTGAAACGTTTGTGGGCTGATTTTATTAGGGTGCTTATGAAACCATTTTTGAACACGTGAAAGTGCCTTTGAATCATACCATGGGTCTTATCAGCAGGTCTCCAGGGTCTCAGGCTGAAGTCTTTCACATCATCTGCTATCTGATCCCTTTAACCAGAGATGCCAAGGACTGAACCTGGGAACTTCTGCATGCAATGCAAGCACTCTGCCACTCAGCCACAGTCCCAACAGTTCATTTTAATCAAATAAATATTGAAGCTCTAATTTATTTTGAATTTGGTACTTTCATAACATTTCTCAAGACAAAGGAAGATAAAAAGCCAAATCTAAAGCTGGGGGAGAACCCTAAATTTCAGAAGCAAACTCTTCCTCCTTGCAATGAACGTTTCAGAACACATTTATGATCTTACCCACTTCCAATAACATGGCATAAGAGGAGCACTTGATAGATTTTATCCAGATTTCAACACGATCAGAATGTAAATGATGTAAATGAAACCAAAGAGCCATGTGAATGTAATCACAATCTCTCTGTGCACCAGTAAGTGATTTGCTTCCAGTGGTAATTTACAGTGCCTAAGAGAATGCTGCTCCAGCCTGTCCCTCCCTAATAGCTGAAAGCAGTTTTTCCTGCACCCAGCAAAGCACAGTATGGGCACTGAAAGTCATTTTTTAAAAAATCGATTAATTGCAAAGCAAGTTGGTACAGATATCTGGTACTACTTCCACAGCCGCAATACCTCCTTTGTTCCTACTTACTACCTTTTGGGAATTTCAAGTTGTTTCGCCTTACCTCCAAGAGGAACATCTTGATGCTGGTTTTTATCTTTTCTCCAATCAGCCACAACATCAAGGATGGCATTGAAATGGAAATCCATCCGCTTATCTATAGTAGGGTCGGTTACCCTCCCACCTTCCTGAATCAAGTCGCACTTCTCTCCAAGTTTATTCATCTTAATCTCCAGCTTAAAAAAAAAAAAGATTTAAAAGGGGAGAGGAAAAATCAGGGCATATTTTAAGGAATACTGATTAACACCACCACCCAGTAGTAGAATGCTGTTGCAACAAACTTTTTTTTAAAATACTTTTATACAACTGTCTGGATTTTCAAAAAAAACCAGGGTGGACCAAAATTCAGATAAAAGCTGAAAGTCAGCACTGAGATCTTTGCATTTAGGGGATCAGAACTATTTCAGTTATCATAAAAAGTTATGAGTACTAAGGACTAATTGCCTAAGAAGTCTATTGTGTACAGCAGGATATCACAGATTTCCATGAAGGCAATGTCATGTGGCAGGGAATTAATCACTTAAAATCAGAGCCACTGCACGAGAAGCAACTGTCAAAACAGAACATTTTAAAACAAATGTGTAGAACAAACTATGTGAGATAGATCCTTAATGTTACTCTTTCACATATGGGAAAATTAGGCGGAGGAACTACTTTCCCCAAACCGCCCAATGTCTCCAGAATCTAATTTACACCTCAAACCAGTTCTCTCAGACCCAAAACCAAGAGGCTTTTCAGGGGACTACAGCAGAGTGAAAAAACATGCCTCCAAACTACATATACATACATACACATACATATATTAACCATATGCTTTCTAACTGCAGTGTTTTCATTGGTCAAAATGCAAACCCACTTGCTCACACATAAGCGCTACTGGATTGTTGACACAGCCATTAACAATCTGTGCCCCTTTCCCGATGGTGATTCCCTTGAAAGTCTTGTCATCCCACACACGTCCTCCAATTCTTTCCTTCGCTTCAAGGACAAGCACCTGCAATACACAAGCAGAAGTGGGAAGAAATGCTGCTATGAAAGGCAGCAACATATCCTTCAAGTGTCTTGTCACTAGTAGGCTAATATAAGCATCCTGCTAAGAGTCTGCCCAACTTCTGAGAGAAATGTGATTAACTGAATTCCACAATGAGTCCTGAACCTGGGAGAGATTCAGAGACCATACATTACCACCGAGTCTTTCTTTTAAGAAGTAGATAAACCAGATCCACAGGATCTACCTGAACACTTGATAAGCCACAGCATGCCATGCAACAAACCTCATTTTCCATAAGAGCTTCCATGTTTCATGAGCACATGAAGCGAACTTAAATTCTATCAGACCACTGGTCTGTCAGAGTCAGTACTGTTTGCTCTGACTGGCTCTCCCAGTCTCAGGTTTCACATCACCTTCTACCTGACTCTTTTAACTGGAGATACCAGAGATTGGTTCTTCAGTCACCACTGTTAGTGTCACATCCTTGCCATAGTGTATCATATCTCCTGGAGCTGGAACAGGACACTGCAGGCTCATGTGGCAGATGCTCAACCTGAATAGACTGAAGAAATGTACAGAAGTACTCAATTTCATTTTTATCTGAACAAGCTTTACCTTGATTCCAAAATTGTGAAGTTGCCTTGCAGCTGCTAATCCTGCTGGACCGGCCCCAACCACAATTACAGATTTCTTGAAGAAGAAGAAAAAGCACTAGTAAGAACACCTGAGGAGTCTGTGCACAAGGTGGATCACTGTACAAAACTCTGCTCTTAAGTTTTCCACTGCCAACGTCATAGGCACAAACTGAGCAAAAGTTAAAGTAATGCACAGGTAACTTTTTGTGGAGGACAGTAGGCCTAGACAGGTTTCGCAATGATAAACTCTGTGTAATAATCTGGTTTTGGAAAAGGATTATTGAATAATCATCATCATATAGATAGATGAAAATGTAAAGAATGTTATTCATTAATGGCTTAGGTAAAGGTTTCCCTTGCTCCAAAGCTAATCGAATCCGACTCTAGGGGAGTTCTGACTCATCTCCATTTCCAAGCTGAAAAGCCAGCGCTGTCCGAAGAGGTTTCTGTGGTCACGTGGCCTGCATGACTAAATGCCAAGGCGCACGGAACGCTGTTACCTTCCCACCAAAGTGGTCCCTATTTATCTACTTGCAATTTCTTGCTTTCAAACTGCTAGGTTGGCAGGAGCTGTGGCCAGAGACAGGAGCTCATTCCGTCACACGGTACTCGGGTCTTGAACTGCCGAACTGCAATCTGCAGCTCAGCATCTTAACCTCTGAGCCAATGCAGCCCCTTCTTTTGTAAAGTAGCACATAAAAGAAAAAAGATTTGTTTTGGAGCAAGACACGGAAGCTGCCTTATCCTGATTCTACCAAAGTCAGTACTGTTCATTCTGTCAACAACTCTCCATAGCATCAGGGAGAGGTTTCCTCACACCTGGGATCTTCTGTACATAAAGGTGCTCTACCACTGTGCCATAGTCCCTCCCGAACCTGTGCTAGAAAGAAGAACGAAGCTGCCATCGCACCTAAAAGAATAAATGGTTTTTATGCTTTTTAAGTTGCCTCCTATCCTAAACCGCGTGGAGGGGAGGGAGAATACCAACAATTTATTATGTGACCTGACAAGATTTGGTGAGTACAGTGTGATCCACCCTCTCACTTTTTTCAGCAATGAGCTTCCAGTTTCCCCTTTTGAGGCAGTTGTGAAGAGGTAACAGTCATCAGGATAAGCGTCCCCATTTCTTTCCTTAGCCACAAATACAGTTTTTCATTTTACTTCCCTTTCTCCTCAACCCATCAGAATTTGCCTGGATTTAGTTTATCTGTACGTTGAATCTTAAAGTACTCACACTGTGATAGTCTTTGGGAAGAAGAGGCTGGTCAGGATTAACAGACAAAATCCCTGTATTAATCAGACCTTTCCTGGTCATGAAATGAAGTATCCGCTCTGTCTCCCGTACACAGCGAATTCGCACAAGACCTCGAACAATGATGAAATGAGTACACTTCTGAGGGGTGAGAGGTTCCTGTACGTTGAGAGGAACAGAAAGGACAAAACATACTCAAGAGACAAGAATTTTGCCCTGCTCAAACTGTGTAGCATACCCGTAATTCAGATGATGAGGCTTAGCTGCTAACCATTTCTCTAACACTCATGAACTGTGGGTAAACTATGTTGTTATAAATAATCTTTCACGGTCATTCAAGATCATATACAATTTATAAACAGACCATAGTATAGCACAACACTTCTCTCAAAAATATCTGAAATATACAGAACAAAGTCCTCAGAAGACAATAAAGCATATACACCTCAGGGGAGACAGCCTCCCAAGCACCCAGACCTCCCCAAATATGAGGTGAGCAAAATATATTTACATATGTTTGTCCCAAGGCTGGAAGGACCTGGCTTTGAAAACCCACTGACAGGAGTCCCCTTAGGTAGTTCACTGGAACTATTATTACCCACCACCACCTGCTGGATACTCTGTAGTAAATTCTGCTGTCACTTCCTGAACTAGTCCTCACCATTCCTTGAATGTTCTTACCTCATGATTCTTGGGTGTTTTCCCCTTCCCTTTCTTTTCAGGGAGTTAGGGTTGTATGCCAAGGGCACTGCTTCCCCCAACACTGGTGTCTCCCTGTCAACTTGGTCACCTATGTTTACATCTGGATGTTGCACCAAAGGACACTGAAAAGCACTTCTGGACACTACCTCATATACAAGGAAATCAAGTCTCCTCTCCTAGTCCAGCTGCATTACCTTACCTTCCGTTGGAGAAAAATGATTGTTTTTCTTAAATGACACCTTCTCTTAATACTTGTTGCGGCTGCAGATTGTAAAAGAGAGCCTATCTGGGGTCATAAGCTTTAAATTACTCAATAATAATCATAGCAGTCATCATATCAATAGTGACAACCAGGGTGGAGTAGTTAGATTGCTAGACTAGGATCTTGGAGACCCAGATTCTAACCTCTACTCTGCCATGGAAGCTTGCTGGGTGACCCTGGGCCAGTCACACTCACCCAACCATAACATACCTCACAGGGCAGTTGTTGTGAGGATAAAATAGAGTAAAGGAGGGCAATGTAAGCCACTTTGTGTCCCCACTAAAGAAAAAGGTGTGGTATAAATGAAGTAAACAAACAACATTAAATAAGCAAAGTATTTTCTAAAACAGTAAAAATATATTAAATGTTTTACAAAATGGGTAACCCTCTGGAATGTATAAAAACTCAATTCACTTTTTTTTAAAGGTTTTATGGTTATAGTGGCAAGTTTGTATGTACTTTAACCTAGGAAGTATCTGAAAAAAATTGAAAAATGTTATTTGAATCAATGATTTAAAATCAGACTTCCCCGTATGATAATTTAAATTGTCTTGATTTAGATCAGTCTGTCCTGCACTCTCTTGACCAACGAGTTTTCCCATTTGTTTTAATGGAGGAGACAACTAAGGGCACCTATTCCTTCAGCATGTTGTCCCTTCCACTGAAAAGCTGATTCATGTGCTTTGTATCAGTTTACCAACATAAATTTGAGATTAGCAAGATACAAGAGATAAGAGACAGCAATGCACAGTTTGTAGAAAATATACTTAAATTGCTTATTTGACAATAGCATTCCAAATTCTTAGTCTTGCTTACTTTGCAGTTTGTGTACCACAGGGCCAGAATGAGGTTTCTCAGAGCCAGGTACATGGTGGGGTCTCTTGAATATTCCGGAAACTCATAGAGTTCATCTAGCTCCATTACATCTGGCCTTACGCACAGTGCTTTACCACATTCATTGGGCTGATAGAAAGGCCAGAAGTACTTGTTCATTCCTGAAAGGTAACAGAGCGAAACACAGAATTAGTTTTACCTGGAACCTGCACCATAAGAGCTGACTGTTTTTCATTAAAGGTGTGACAAATGGGGTCAGGGCTTCCTCATGAACAGTGAAGGGTCTGCAGTGGGAGAAGGAGAAGCAAAAGATATCACCCCCCCCCACTTCTCCACAACCACTTCTTTACTGGCTGAGCATCATCTTCAGAGCCAACTATTGGGCTACCTGGCAGTAATCTATATACCATGACAAATGAATCCTTTGTGCTTTTACTGTAGTGGTTAGGAGTGTGGACTCTAATCTGGGAGAACCAGGTTTGATTCCCCAGTCCTCCACATGCAGCTGCTGGTGTGACCTTGGGTCAGTCATAAGTGCCTTCAGAGCTGTTCTCTCAAGGGCAGTTCTCGAAAGAGCTCTCTCAGCCTCACCTACCTCACAGGGTATCTGTTGTGGGGAGGGGAAGGGGAAGGAGATTGTAAGCCACTCTGAGATTCCTTCAGGTAGTGAAGGGCGGGGTATAAATTTAATCTCCTCTTCTCTCTTCTTCTCTTTTGTTGCTTCTCACTCTGTGTCCCCATCATTTGGCTTCACTAAAGCCCTGCTTGCTCTCAGTGATTGTAACACCAGAACACAGAGCTGGGATTGACAGAAGCATAAGAGGAGGGAGCAAAAAAAAAATATGGAGGCAAAAAGCAGTGGAAGCTTGCCTGGCTCAGACCGCCAGCAAGCCCAGAGCTCCCCCTTACAAAACTCAACACACAATTCGTTTAGTTGACAAATTAAGTGATGGGATGATGACTGCTAGAGTTTTAGAATGCGATGCCATTTCCTAACATAAGAACCAAGATGCTCCAAGACTGCTGTGTAACTACTGCGTAACATTATAGTAAGACTGAGAGAAGCCCAACTTAGAGGAACCAAAAGCGGCACAGGAAGATCTCACTCAGGCTGAAACACTTTTAAGAAGTTGCTACCTGCATGCCCTGGATGTTCATATGCAGGATCAGAATACAGTTTACATGCCCAGGCAACTCTGATCTTGTCAGATCTCTGAAGCTGAGCAGGGTCAGCACTGGTCAGCATTTGGACGGGAGATCACTAGGGAATACTAGGGTCTCTACGCAGAGGCAAGCAAAGGCAAACCACCTCTGAACATTTTTTGCCTTGAAAACCCCACAGGGGTCACCATGAGTCAGCTGTGACTTGACAGCCACAGCAGCAACAACAAATTGTTAATGGCTTCACAAAAGGAAGATGCCTTTTAAAGCAGACAGCTGCCTTGCATGGACCAAGTGAAGTACTTTCCACGCCTATTCAATGAGGAGACATAAAAATGCAAATGGGAGGATCTTTACCAGCTATAGTAGGTGGGGTCTTCAAGTGCTCCATTTTTACAGCGTTGGATTCGCCAAGCAGCCGGTGGGTGCTGGTGCAAGAGGGGCTCATGCCCACACAGTCTGGGTAGTAGGCAGACAACAAAGGCGCCGCCACGCTGTCCTTCAGTAATGGGGGAAGAATGAGCATGGAGTACCACCAGGAATCTGAAACTTCAGCAACTCTCTAGGAAAGAGCAGAAGTAGATGGCGAATATGAGGAAGCAATTTAAGATTCTTCTCACACGTTTCCTCTCAGTCCATTAACTTCAGGTCATAAAAGCACTGGGATTACGAGACAGAGTCATACAAGAGACTCCCTTCTTAGTGCTGTGATTACGAAGCAGGACTAATTGTTTTTCATGGAGTAATTCCCTGACTATGAGATTAATAAGGTCTCTTCCAGGATCTGTGCATCTTACTTTCTGCACAGAGGTGTTCCAAGGGAAGAGAGCTTGCCTGTTACAAGAGAGCTAGCAGGAATATGTGGAAATTTGCATAGAGAAATCAAAGATGGTACTAGCTAACCCAGTTCTCAGCCATCCTTTGCTTGCAGTACATTCCAGATATGACAGTAATTCTAATTGTAACAAGACTGAGAGGTGAGATTCTTACTATGACAACCATCAAGGTAGGGGCTGTTTGTCAGTCATTATTAATGTATACTATTTCTTTTTGATATTCAGTATCAGTAGTTTAATAACAAAGCTCTTAGAGCTAGCACAAATGGATAACTTGAGTTTATTATTGCAAGGTAAAGATAATAAATTGCAAAATAAAAGATGGCTAAGGGTATATAATTGGATAAAACAGGTACAGGTTATTAAATAAGTACAACGTTAATTATTTGCATAAGACATGTTACTTGATTCAACTTGATTCAATAACTCTAAAAATTTATGTAATCTAAGGAAATGAAATATTTTATTTTTGGTGGAAAATATGGAAAATAAATGGGCGGAACAAAAATTGGTGTTCTTTTAAAAAAAGTATATTGATATTTTGAGAAATTTATGTGAGTTGAGGTGATATTCTAATCCTGATCTATGTACCTATTACACTTATTCTATATATTAGAATCGTGTCCTCAGTAAATATAAAATGTAAAAGCTTTTGATGAATAATGCTTAATGAATTTTTGTTACTCCGTTCCCCCTTTTTTGTTTCTGTACCCTTTAATTATAATAAAAATTATATATTTGTATGTGTATATATACACACACACATATATACACACACATTCTTTTAAAGGAAACCAACATAAACACTCATAACCTAAACCCAGAAAAGAATATTAGCCACATTCATGTATATCTTCCATGTGGGGTGCTGCAGACATGTAAATTTATTTACAAAATTTATATGCCATCTTTCTACCCTCAACAGAGCCCCCAAGGCAGCTAACAGATTAAAATCATACACAATTTAAAAAGGTCTTTAAAAAACCCCATCATTAAAACAATTAAAACCAAGCTAAAATACACATGCCAAACAAAACATTAATAACAATTAAAACATAGGGCAGGAAGGAGGGATCATTCACCACCCCTTCACCCACTGGTGGAAGATGGCAACAGAAAGTGACAGATGAATCTCCCTGGGGAGACAGTTCCAGAGCTTTGGTGCCATGGCTGAGAATGCCTTCACCCAGACTGCCACCCACCTAATATCAGAAGGTCGGGGCACCCAAAGCAAAGCCCTGAAAGATGACTGTAGCAGTGGGGTAGGTTCATAAGGGAGGAGGTAGACCTTCAGGTATGCTGGTCCCAAGTCAATACCATCACCTTGAATTGTGCCCAGAAACAGACTGGGAGCCAGTGTAGAAGGGCCAAGACTGGACTGATACATTCTCCTTGGCCCATTCCAGTCAACATGTTATCTATAATACACAGATTAGGTTCAGGATTGGACCTTTCCCCTGGGTACTTTCAAATACAGTGCCAAGACATGAGCATTTATGTTAATCACTTGTCCACTATTGTACATTTAGATCAAGGGAACATTCCATATGTGTCATTTTCACACGTCATTCCATCCCCACAAACACAAATTTAATACACAACGCTTACCAGGTCCTCAGGCATGGAGCACTGATCGGAGCCCTCCACCTGGAATACATGAAACTATGTCAAAGAACAGATCTATACAAAGTCACAAGACATTGTTAAACAAGACAGGCATAGAAAGCAATGGCATAAATGCTGTTAAACAAGAAACCAGACAACCCATCATACGTGTGTGTGTGTGTGTGTGTGTGAAACGTGCTGTCATGGAGCAGCCAACTTATGGTGACCTAAGAAGGTTTTCAAGGCAAGAGACAAACAGAGATGATTTGCCATTGCCTGTCTCTGCATAGTGACCCCAGACTTCCTTGGTGGTCTCCCATCCAACTACTAACCAGGGCCAACCCTGCTTAGCTTCCAAGATATGAGGAGATCAGGCTAGCCAGAGCCCAATGGCAGAAAGCCACTAATCGTTAAATGCTGGAAAGCAGTAAGTAAATAAAGGCTGTTGCCAGTGGGTCCTGCCTGTGGTCCTTTGGACCATCTGACTGGCCACTGATGTAAATAAGATTGGTGTGATAAAGCACAGCTTCTCTTATGTTCTAACGGCTGCTGCTTCTTAGGAAAAGAAGCTTTGGGAGAGAGCAATTTGAAGTGCAATAGTGGCCCAGGGAAGAGATTCGCAGTTTTCACCACAACTCCCTCTCCGCAGGTTTATGCAGGTTTAACCTCATAAACATGTGTGGAATCCTTACTGGGAAGAGGAAACTGTTTGGGTATGAAGCTTAAGTACTCCCTCCCTCCTGCCACTTCCACTTCAAATCACACCCTCCCAAAGCTGCTTTTTCTTTTTTTTGGGGGGGGGGGGACACAATGCTGTCTTGGCTCTGGTTACTGTTTATTACTTTTCCTTCATGAAGCTTACATTTAGATATGTCAGAAGAAAGAAGGGCTATTTAAAACTGATTCAACAAGGACTACAAGAAGATCTGCAAGCCAAGGAGAGCTCTCCTTCAAACAGGAGACTGAAGCCCTTCCAGCCAGAAGACCAGCTGTTTCATGCAATAGTCAAGCTCCTCTTTCAAGTGTAAAAAGAGCACTCAACAGTGACACACACAAGTGTTTCAGCAACCAGCACTAGACGTTCCTGAAAAAGAGCTGGAGCGAATGTATCGTATAATGCTGGGGAGTTCATCAATTTATTTAAAACATATTGGCAATTGATAACCGATATTAACAGTGACATAATGCAGTCATTTTTAGAGAAAAGCACCAGCATAAATGTATGGGACTGAGGAAAATATCTGTTTTATAGCAACAGCAAAAAAACTAGCATTTCTAATAGGTCTGAAAATAGACAACACCTTGATGGAATTGTTCAGTTTCATGCCACAACGATATGTTCTAGCGATTTGTGAGGTAAGCTGGATTTCCTTTGTCAGTTGACGCCACTTTCCACACTCCGGTTTTGTACACTGTACCTGGGAATACAATCAAAGAAGTGGTAATCTGTGTTCATTGTTTTTTTTAAAAAAGCATATCAAGAATCAAAGGCACACCAACAATAAAATATTCAGACACACACACACACACACACACACACGCACACACAGAGCTTTCAGTATTTGAACCAGGCCTTCTTTAAGAGGCATGAGCAGCAGCCAGAAGGGCAAATTCTTCTTGAAGCTTTCCATCAAACCTAGTGTCATAACTTAACTATAACACAACAGATTTCAAAAAACTAATGCAGTTTGTATCTCATCTTCCATTCTATCCATAAAGAGGGTTTCACTTCCTCATTATTTCACAAGAAAATGAGTCACTCATTTAAAGAGTTACTAACTTTTCTGCAACATTTTTTATGTCTATGCAGTCCCTGCAAGAATTGTCCCCCTGTCTTTCCAAGTACTGACTCAAATCCTTGAAAAAGATAAAACACTACAGCACCCTTTTTTCACAGAAGTAGAAGGAGGAAGAGATTGGATTTATACCCTGCCCTTCATTTGGAGTCTCAGAGTGGCTTACAATCTCCTTCCCTCCTTCCCTTCCTCTCCCCACAACGGACACCCCGTGAAGCAGGTGGGGCTGAGAGAGCTCTCTCGAGAACTGCTCTTGAGAGAACAGCTCTGAGAGAACTTGTGACTGACCCAAGGTCACTGCAATTTAAGAAGGTCAAGCTACAGGTAAATTAATATTAAAAATATACAAACATTTATTAGGGTGTACACATAAATAAAACATTAAAAAGTTAAAAGAAATAGTCTAAATATCAGACTCAAAGAACATACAGAACTGATCGTTATACATATCCAATAGATGGGTAAAACATTTGACCTAAGGACCACACACTTTTTGGCCCCTTCGGGCCTTCCTCAGTGGTCAGTATTTCTTATTTTACAATGACACACATCCAGAAATACATACATAAATATATGTGTGTGCGTGTGTGTAACCAGGTGTTGCTTTCTTATATGCTTTATAGTTATTGCAAGTTTGTATAATCGGCCATGGATAGTAGCTGTGCAAATTCACCAAATTATTCTGGTATCCAATATTGCATTCATCGGGATGTGTGTCACCTCCATCAAAGGTAGTAAGTCAAGGTCACACCAGCAGCTGCATGTGGAAAAGTGGGGAATCAAACCCGGTTCTCCCAGATTAGAGTCCGCGCTCCTAACCACTACACCAGCCTGGCTCTTTGAGAGGAAGTACATCAACAGAGAGGGAGTACATCAATGGATGCTGTTTCTGGCAACCTGCTACCTTGTCTTTTCTCAGGTAACTATTCAAAAAGTAGTATGAAAATGTCATTTCGAGCCACCACAGGCTCGTATTGCAAGCAACAGTAAGAGGAACAACAAAAGGCAAATCCAAGCACTACAATAAGAACTACCACCGCTAAGGCGATTTGGTGTAGATTTTCCTCTCTGACCTAATCCTCGACAGTTCCCACCCCGCCTTCTAAACCAATTAACTGCTGCCTGTTCTTGGCAATTTCCCTGGGATTCCCATAATGCATCATACAGGACCACGCTTGGTGTTGCTTTCTCCTTTTCCATCGCTCAACAGTGCCTACTCTTATAACGGAATTAGTGCTGCCACACTGTCCGTTTTTGCTATTGTTCAAATTAACGGTATTGACTGTGGCAAATCACTAATTAAATTGTGGAATCTCAATTTAGAGGTCTTGTTGGAGATGTTTCTTTATTATTTAAGACATTTATTAGCTGCCTTTACACCTGGTGAAACTCAAAGCTGCTTAGAAGATAATAAAAGAATGATTTAAAAAAAACACACACACACAAAAGACCGCAATTTAAAATCTCACTAACCAAATTAGTCCAATGCAGTCCCAAATAAAACTGTCTTATGTTGAAAGGAGGAGAGGCATGAGGGAGGGGCATGATCCACTCAGTTGAAATAGCCCATGAGCAGAGAAAAGATGAAGAATCCAGTAGCACCTTAAAGACTCATAAAAGCTCATGCCCTGCCACAGGTGTTGTTAGTCTTTAAGATGCTACTGGACTCTTCCTCTTTTCTACTGCTACAGACAAACCAACAGGGCTACCCAGCTTGAGCAGAGAGGCATACTGGCAGGTCCTATCCACCAGCTAAGCTTCAAATAAGTCCAGTGACTGAAATCACAAGAGGGGTAATAAAAGACTTGCAAAGAGGTTACAGTGCAATCCTAAACAGAGTTATAGCCTCCTAAGGTCACTGAGTTCAATGGTCTTAAAATTCATGATTAGATATGGAACGCCAATCCAAAGAAAATTACCCTCAAAACATTAAATGCCCTCCAAACCTTTCTTGATTTCGTTTTGGATATTCTCCCTCAGAAACAAAGGCCTGCTTCCCTCAGCACTGGTCAACGTACAGGAAGAAAAAATCAAAAAAGATACATACATGATTTCACAGTGATGTATCTTTATGAATAAATCCCTTACCCAATAAGGGAGCTGTTGATCAGCCATAAACGCTTTAGGACTTGGCTCACTTTTCCCATTACTGGTCCAAATCCGTTTCCAGGCAGTGTATTTTTCATAGCCATCTTTATGACTAGGAGAAACGACAGAGTCAGTGGTAAATAAAAGAAACAGAAGGGACAGTACAGGTCAATCTATTTTAAAACTTAAGATTCATTCCAGAAATAAAATTCTAAGAACAAGAAAACAGGCATAAAAAGAGTTGATTTTTCTAAATAAGAACAGAAATTAGAAATACTATTGTGTTCTGGTTCGTTTGGTTGTTTTTACTTTGTTCCTTCTGATAATTGTGCCAACTCAGAATTCCTCAAGTAGCAGTAATGATTATCGAGACCCTGACCTCCATGAGGGTTTCACTGTTGGAATACCTGCCATCTACAGCAACCTGGTTTTAACTAAACAGCTTGTATTTCAAGAAGAAGCTGAGATCCTGACTGGTGCTGCAAGTTTTCCAGTTAACAGCATTCTGTTCAATAGTACAAAATGGTATAAAGGCCAATTGCAACCATCGTAGCAGTAAGGATGCTCACTTGTACCCCTCTGCTTACAAGCATCCAGTAGATACTTAGTAAAGAATACACATATTATTAGGCTTAATCATTTCTTGTGTTTTACAACTGATGCTTCAAAAAAGGAGGTTTTGTATTATTGTGAAACAGCTTTTTCACCATTTTTATTGTGGCGTCTTTTAGAAACAGTGTCAATTTCCAGCCAATGGCTTGGATCCCACGGAGTGTTCTTGCTGACAGAAAGAACCCCCAGGAACAACACTGCAAAGGAAGCTATGCTCTACTGATGGAAATTCTTCCATCTGTGGGATCCACCCCATTACTGGCAAAGTTTCAGTAGATTCAGTCCAGTAAATCATGCACTTTATAAACCAGTGTTCATTCAGCACTGTTATTTTAAGCCATGAAGTCAAGTAGGAACAGCAAAGTATAACCGTTTTTGCAATGAACAGATTAGGATTAAACAGCAAACACAAGTAATCACCTCGGAAGGCTTAAAAAGTTACCTTCTGTAATAATGATCAAAACATTCGTTGCAGAAATGTTCCCCACAGGAGAGATGATACCATCTTGATGTATAGCCATTTTTAGCACACCTGAAACACATGAAAATAAAGTGTTACAGATTTATGTATTTTTTAAAAAGCTATGAAGTACCTCCACTTGTATATACTGAACTCCAGATTAAACAGAAGAGCAATGGGTACCTAGAAAGGCTGGAATGGATCCCACAGATCTGTTCCCATTAATAGTGGCATTTTCCCTGATGAAAGGAACCATTCCTTGATAACACAGGTTCTTGGCAGAAGAACCCCTTGCACCAGGAACAGATCTACAGCTCAAAATCCATTGCTTTTTTCAACGCTGTCCAATAACAGTTCTATTTCTACTTGCGTATATGTTACATCCTCTGGCTGAATACTTTAAAAGTGTCCAAATCTGTGTTCTAATTACATTTCTATTCAATTTGATTTATTATGATCAAAGATCAGCAAATACCTTAAAATGTTACATAAATTACATTTCTCTAATTCCTTCATTTAAGAACTAGTAAACAGAGAACCATGGTGGAAAAACTAAAGGAGGAGTAACAGTTTTCTTTGTGGCAAGGCATGCACATTAAGCAAAAGAGGCCTTTCTCAGCTTGAATCCCCTTGTTCAGTTTTTAAGTTGCCTTGTTCTGAAGCTGTGTGCTTTGTTTCCTATCCATACTGTCTGAGGATACACTATTGTGCTTTGTGGGAATACACACACTTAGCTCATTGGGTAGCTATGTCATTCCAGTGTTGTGGCTGCTTCATGCAATTATGTGCTGTCCAATAATGGAAGGGTTCCATAGTTGCTTGAACAAAAGCATTCTTTAACTAGAGAATTAGAGAGAGTACAGTTGCCAACAGTTTATAACAAGCAGCCTGACTTTCTGGCCTTCCCTTCAGTCTGTTTCTTCCCAGAACTCCAATTCCCACCTCCAAATCCTGCGGAGAGTGACTCTGTAGTAACGTGTTCAAGAGCACCAATTTTGTTCCAAAGCCTCTATGCATGCAAAATCTGTATACAAATATGCTGAAAGTGTGCCATGAGCACAGAAATCTCCTTTAAAATGTGATAGTGGGCACAGAAATCTTCAGTTTTAAAAAGGAGGGAGTTTCTAGTCCTCATGATTAAGATGTATTTGAAAAAGCACAGACAATTCTGACAAAAATCTAAGAACCCAACATTCCTAATCTTTAGGGACAAGATTTCAGTGCCCTGAATTCTACTTCCCACTTACTAAAATGGAAGTTATCATGCAAAGCAAGTGTCAATATACAAATATGACTAATCTGCATAATCTGTATTCATCACAGAATTGAGATTTTTCTCTCTTTTTTAGCATGGAGTACACACTGAATATTGGTTATAAAAACACTTGGTGTAGAAAGGGGCAAGTAAATTTTTCAGGATGTTAAAGTAACTACCCTATGAAGAAAGGTTAGAAAAAAGACAACTAAGCAGGTATTTGTTAGAGGTTTGTAATATTATATATGAAAATGAACAGAGAAAACATTCTCTCTTTCCTAAAATACTATTATTTAGGGGTACTCAATGAAGTTGAAGAGCAGTAGATCTATGGCAAAAGAAAGTACATCTTCACACACACAATGAGAGCAATCCTAAGGATGTATACATGACATCATACTCGGATCTATTCAACAGGACTTACTCCCAGGAAAGTGTTGTTAGGATTGCTTTGAATGTGGTGCTCACCATCATAGGATATAGCACTGGTCACTAGTATTTGTGGCTTTAAAAGGAAATTAGACAATGGCTAAATAAGAACTCCATGTTCAGACAGGACACCTCTGAATGCCAGTTGCTGGGAGACAATAGTAGGGAAGGTCTGACCCCTGCTTAGGGGTTCTTGTGGGGCATTTAGCTGGCTGTGGGAAACAAGATACAGGACTAGACAGAGGTATTATCAGGAGATTGTGAGCCAGTTGCTTGACTCTTTCAACATATACTTCTTTAATTAAAATATTTATATATGTCCCTTTCTTCTGGGTATCTCAGGACCTAAAGTGTGTACATTATAAACCAACTTATACAACACATTAACAACACAACTAAAAGTGCTTTGACCTGGATAGCCCAGGCAAGCCCGATCTTGTTAGATCTTGGAAGCTAAGCAGGGCCGATACTGGCAAATATTTGGATGGGAGACCTCCAAAGAATACCAGGGACAGGAGGCAGAGGTTGTGCTTCTCCATGCCCCATCAAGCTGCTTCTCCACGCCCCAGTAGGAGTTGCCAGAGGTCACCATGACTCCCAGGCATGGGTGCGTGCACCCACAAAAAGAAAAATGCAAAAATACCAAAAAAAACCCCCCAAAACCCTACACTAAAAGCAACTTGTGCCTCCAACCAGCAAGGTAATCCCCTTTGCCCAGGAACATAGGTATTTTTAAAAAACCATGTGAATTTCTCCAAAGATAAAGTGGAATGGGAAAAATGCCCTCTGAAATGAAGAACACTTTGCTGATGAATGGGAACAGGTATCAAGAGAAACCCAAACCTTTCAGCTGCACTTGCAAAGCAAACAGGACACGTTGCCGTACACCCTGCCTTTTCACACTTCCGATACTTTTTCTCTGAAGCATCTTCATCATCCTCCACTGTATCCGCAGCCTTCCTCCGGACCTAGCAGAAAACAATGTAACTAAAGAATTCGCACTAGCTTTAGGGATCTACAGGCTTTACCTCTGTGATGTAGTAGTGAGGGAAAATGGCTGCATTAAGTTTTCTCCACATGGAGAGAGAGTATTCTAGCACAAAACTAACTCCTATACATTCACTTCAGATAGAGAACAAATCTTTTTAAATAAACTAAAAATGTTTCATGGGCTGTGTGCATGTATGGTTTGTACTGAAATGTGCAAAAGTGACTGTGGAAACATTTAGCTTTCTAATAGACAAGGAAACATTTCAAAATAACTGTGTTTTTTGCCAGGATACTGAAATGAACTTCAACTGAGCAAGTCTTCAGATCAGCCCAGGACACATTAAGGGCTAAAGCTATCAGTATGGGAAAAACAAACATGTGCTCAGTTTCCTCCAAGGACAATATACAGCTTGAGCTGCAATCCAGTTCAACTACATTACTAGGGTTTAAACCAAATCAGTTCTACTGACTTCAATGCTACTAAGAGTATGAGCCAAAAATGCAATGTAATTCAGTGAAAATTGTTTACAAGCAAACATACAAAGGATCTAACAACTATCACCTTAGTTTTTCAACTGAACTTTAAAACATACTAATATACTATCAGTAGTAAACATACTAATATACACCTCATTACACTCTTCTAAATCCTCTTTCAAGGGACTCAGAAGGGTACAACTCTGCCTAATATGGCACCCAACATGCATTCTGGATGCAACCCAAGTGGCTGTCTTTTATTTTTATACAGACAGAAAGACCCACACACACACAATTTCATTTAAACTTAACTCTATTTTAATTACCTGCCTGCCTGAACTCCTCAAAGGAAGGTTGTCAGGAGACTGATCCAACATCACTGTTTTCTTCTTTGCTCGGACCCTTCCAGAAGACATTATGCTGCAGCATAAAAATCAAGTGGACGTCTGATTTAGAGTACACAGGAACATGACATATATGATCAGGGGTCATTTCGTAGAAAAAGAGGTGCAGGAGCTCATTAGCATAACTCATTAGCATAACTTATCTGCATATGCCACACACCCTGACATCACTGGAAGTGTGTCAGAAGGCAACACCCACTGCTCATGCTCCACTGGACTGTTTTGGATTGCTAGCTATTGGGAGGGGGGAATGTGCAGATCTGTCCTCGCAGAGGAGGCAGAGCTTGTACCTGAATAACACTTGGTCTTAAAGGTGCCACTGGACTGTTTTGGCCTGGGGGGCGCTCTGCAACTTACCTGGCTGCTTCTTGCTCTGACTGAGGGCTGCTGGGAGCAGGGGGTGGGGCTTGTTGCATCTGCCCGCTCCCTGGGCCCTTTACTGCCAGAGCTCTGCTCCTGTGCGCTCCTGCAGGAAATGACCCCTGTATATGATAGCAAATATGTTGGATAATATGTTGGACATACTCTAAATCTGCACAGTGGAAGTCTAAAAAACAAGGCACAGGAGGTATGATGCAGGCTTAATTAGGTACCAAATAAGTTCTCAAGCTGCACAACAGGAGACCATGACAGAGACACCATGGCAGCTTTTTTTTAAAGATAAAAGCTGGCAGTAATTTAGATGCATCTCCCAGCTGTATTAAGAACCCATTCACTGCTCTTTTTATTACACTTCTCCCCATGTTTGCATTTATTCATGTAGGATTTTCCTGGTGATTGTGTAAACTTGGCCTGTTTGTAATGGATTTATATTATTTGTAATGGATTCATATTTCTGGTAAAACAAAAAATTCAAACACTTGGGTACACAGTAAACACCTAAAACGCCTGCATGGTTTGTCTTCCAGTCCATGGTAAGCCAGCCCTTCTCCCAGTGCTGTAGTCAGAACCCAGAGTGTCCCAACATGTACTGAAAGCCGAAGTCTGCACACAGTGAGTGCAACCAGCTTGTTTTAGATCTGAAGACCACACCCAGACATTCGTACAAGGAGAACCTTAGATAAGAACTGCCATTCCACATACAGCAAGCCTAGATACTTTATTCATACTAAGCAGATAACGCAATCCTTATGAAGGATCTGAACCTCTCCAGAGCACATTTACAGTGTATATGAATACACACTAGCTTCGTTCTCTATTACCAAGTCACTGTGTGACTCTCTTGGAATTAAATAATTCAGCATAGTTTCATTGCCGGTGTAGATTTGTTTCCTGTGCTGAGGAATTAATGCACACAGAATATATATTAATCCCACATAGTTACAAACTTCCAGCTCCATTATATCTTCCCCCAAACTACAAATCCAGAGAGACTGAGCTACAGTTATGCAGGAAGAAGGGTTAATTATATTCAGGGTGGGTAATTTACCCAGCAGGAAGGGCAGGTTTCTCCTCAACTTGGAGTCAAATCGCCTAGTTTTCAACTGGCTAATGAATGTCTTTCCAAAGCACTTCGAAACAGAGCTGTAAGGATATAAACAAATAGAAGCATTGTGAGAACAAGGGAAAGTGACCTTCCTGGCCACAGAATTCTTTTTTATCCTCTGCTCCAAGAAACCAGCTCAGATACCCCCTGTAGAACACCACCCTAACAAAGACTTCCAGAAGCAGATACACCCACTGCCCCCAAACTTTGCAGGAAGGAGACATGGCCCTTTCAAAGCAGCACGTGCTACAATGAATGCCAGGCAGGCTGATGGGAAACCATTTCAAGTGACAGCATGCCTTCATGGGGAGAGAGGCCTTTCATCAGAAACATGTTCCAGTCAGTGCATCTAACAAGCTACATAACGATAATCATGTGGCTACCTACTAGTTTACAAGAACAACAAGAGGACTGAAAAATTCAGCTTGAGATTTGGGTAAAATTCCACCCAAATAAAATGACACACACCCTTTACAAAAGTATTGCTTCTCCAATTTCGGATGCAATACCAAAGCTCAGCAACACACATTAAATCATGGGGTTAGTTCACACACTTCCTGGAGTCTCTAAAATACAGTATTATTGTGGATTTCAGGCCATGGTAAAAGACTACATCCCTACACAGTAAATTTACTGGGGACTAGTACAGGTCCCATTGGCCTGAATGCACAACCCATAATCTCTCCATAGAAGAGAATGAAAGGAATACTTCGGATAAATCCAGGTGGGCAGCCATGTTGGTTGGAAGCAGTAGAACGAATTTTGAGTCCAGTGGCACCTTTAAGACCAACAAAGGTTTATTCAAGGTATGAGCTTCCATGTGGACGCACACTTTTTCAGCTACAATGAAATACAATCCATTTCCATTTCATTGTATCTGAGACAGTGTGCATGCACACAAAAGCTCATACCTTGAACAAACCTTTGTTGGTCTTAAAGGTGCCACTGGACTCAAAATCTGGTATACCTTGGATCAATAAGCTCACAGCAGGTTCCTCTTAAAATTCCTGAATTGAGTGTTTAATTTCTCAAAGATCCAGGTGGTCAGCCATGTTGGTCTGAAGCAGTAGAACAAATTCAGAATCCAGTGGCACCTTTAAGACCAACAAAGGTTTGTTCAAGGTATGAGCTTTCGAAAGCTCATACCTTGAATAAACCTTTGTCGGCCTGAAAGGTGCCACTGGACTCTACATTTGTTCTGATTTCTCAAAGGGCAGAGACTCAAGCTGGTCTCTGCCCCATCCCAAACCCCAGGATGGGGAGATCTGGCCAGGGCTGCTCATTTCAATCCTCTTGCATTACAGTAGTAGTCCTCACTGATAGTGGAAAGTCGCTTTGCTTTTCCCACGGAGCTCAGAAGCACGTTTATCTCGGTTATTAGTCCACAGACACGGGCAGGTCCTGGCTCCAGCGAAGCCACGCCTCGACGCCAACCGATCTGTAAAACTTCCCACATGTCCCCCCTGTGGGGCAATTCTCACTTCCACGCGCGCTCCCAGCCAGGGGGGAAATCTTGCTGCAAGACGGACAAAGCCCCCTTCCGCGCCACAGCGAGACCTCGCCGAGAAAGACTGACCCGGTGGGGGGGGGGGGAGAAAGCGGAGCTCTCGCTCCTGCGCCCTGTCATCCACTAGCCGCCGCAGGTTGCAGCCGGGAAGGCGGCGCTCTGGCCTCGTCCACGGGGGAAACCCTGCCTCGGCCGGAGCCCAGCGACCCCTCGGCTTCTCCAGCCGCCCCCGAGAAGCGAACAAGCCGATCAGCGCCCTCACGTGCCGCCGGTCCTCCTCCTCCTCCTCGCCGCCACCCTCCAGTCTCACCTCCCCTCCACCGCCCAAGAGCTGCTTCCGCTGTCCTCAGCGCGTAACGTGTGGAGCGAGGGGAGGAGACAATGTAGCGAGCGGCCGGCTTCCTCTCCTGGCGGCGGGGGTGGGAGGGGAGGAGGAGGAGGAGGAGGAGGAGACTGTAGCGCGGAGCCTGGGCCAGGAGTCGCTCGAGCGGCGACGGGGTCTGGGGGCTGTCGGAGGCACTTGGGAGAGCCCTCCGCCTCAGCAGCCTGTCAGGGGCCACCGTCTGGAGTCTCTGCCTGGCGCATCCCAAGGTAGGCTCAAATATCAGTGCTTCGGTATTAAGGGACGCTGCGAGACCTCAGGTTTTTTGTTCTGTGCCTGGGGTGGCTGTGAAATAAGGAAAGTTTTAAATGGTAGCCCGCTGGCACCTTTAGAGGCCAACAAGAGTTCTCCAGGCTGTGAGCTTTCGAGAGTCAAAACACGACGCGGAGAAAGTGCTTTCCTCTGAACAGAAAGTCCTCTGAGTCCTTTTATTGCAGTCAGAAGGTGGGAGGGGTGTGGTGAAGAACGCTTGCAGAGGAGGCAAAGCCTCACTGCATATTGTGATCAGCTTGAGTATTTTATTTTATCTGTATTACTCGGAGTCTGCCTTTCTCGCTGGGACTCAAGGAGGATTAAGCAGGGGGAATGGATACAATCAACATGATGGGACACTCAGTAAACAGTGGAATAGGATTTGGGCTGAGGGCAGGGCAGGGAACTGTTCCTGTTGCAGCAGAGGATAGGACTTGCAATAATGAGTTTAAGGTACTGGTTATAGGACTTCTTTCTCTGTGCAAAGGTTTCCTGGGCCATGGAGAATTCTTTAGATACCTCTGGAAGGGAAGAAGGCGGTGACACTGTGTCACAGCGGGACAGAGTGGTGACGGAAGAAGAATGGATGAAGAAGTGGCAGTTGAGAAACATAGGATTTCATAATGAACAAGGACATCTGTACGTAATCCCATGCTCTGCCTATGTCATTTTATAATAAAACTGATGCTTGTAGGGAAGTTTGACTCTCGCACATGGTTTGCAAAATGTCTGTGTTTATAACCACAGTGGATACCCACTGTTATTATTATTTTATTTACACATTCCCCCTCGAGGAACTTAGGGCAGCATACATTATCCCCTTTGCCCCATTTTATCCTCACACAACCTTTTGAAGTAGCTTAGTCTGCGAGGGTTTATGACTGGCAGAGGCCAACACTCAGTCCCTGGTGTCTTCAGTTAAAAGGGTCGGGTCATAGGTAAAGTGAAAGACCTTTACCTGAGAGCCTGAACAGCTGCTACCAGTCAGAGTAGACAATACTGACCTTGACAGACCTGTGGTTTGACTCAGTGTGGCAGGCTCTCTGGCAGTAAGACTCACCTGGGTGAAGCAGGGTAGGACCAGGAGGTTGCAGCCAGGGTAGCTTCAGTAACAGGGCCCCTTTGGCAGTCTGTCACAGGTAGCCTCAGAAGGCATGGAGGTAGCAGGTGAGCTTGAACAAGGGTTCTCTGGGCCCAGGTGGTTTAAGGCAGGGCATAGCTATGGAGACTAGGAGCTGGCTAAGAAGCAGGGAACAGAGAAGAGGAGGGTGGAGCTCAGCACAATGCCCAGGTATGGAGCTGGGACTATAAAAAGGAAAGAAGGAGGAAAGGGGAGGAGGCTGGTTGGAGGAGGAAGGTACTGGAGCAGAGGTAGAAAGGGGCAAGAAGAAGCCAACACCAGAGAGAGGGAGAGATATTGTCTTAGGGAGACCCCTAGGAAACAAGACAGATCACAGTGTTGTGGTTCTTCTCCCTTGTAATGCATTGTAACCCTGAGGAAGGTGAAGCTAACCACACCTTCAACTGCTTGGTTTGGTCAACTTCCAATAAAACAACATGTGTGAGAAAGCAGTGACAGGGCTGGTGCTTTCATGACCCATGCCCCAGGTATGATGCTCCCATGCCCTCAGAGGGCATCATACTCAGTATGTCACCTTCATGAGTTCAGTGGACCAAGCCGCCCCCCCCCCCAGGTGAGCCTCATGGTTGAGTGAACCTGGTCTCCCATTTGTAGTCACTTGAGCCACTTCACTACATTGCTAAGGGTTAATGCCAATCAGATTCTATTTCTCAAAGGTTCACAGGTTTTATCTGCATCCTCTTGATCCCAGTATGGGACTATTCTTGAGTAAGAGGCAAAGACATCACAGTGGCTCTAACTGTTATGCAGAATGTGCTACAGAGCAGAGCACTAACAGTGCTTCCTAATTTTAAAGGCTTGTTGTTCCTGACAAATTCTGATAATATACTTCCCATTTTTTACAGACGTGTTTCTATTCCTCATACTTTCAGTGAAGTAACACTCTTGGGAATTAGAAACTAGTCTAACTGGGGTATTATTATGTTGTTCATAAGAACCATTATGGTGGATTACGTCAAGTGTCTGTCTACTTCAGAGTCCCAGGGTAGATCCAAGCCTCAAGCTTGTATCATATATTCAGTCAACTTCCCTGTGGGCTCTGTTTGGAGCACCCAAATGTGTAGCTTCTTTGGCTAAAGGCTGGGATGAAGCAGCTTTCTGCATTACCATGGTCAGTAGCAATTAAATGTAGGCTAATCTTTTTTCTTGCAGATTCACTCCCCACTTTGTTGCCGTGGCTTCATTTGGATGCTTGTTAGTAGTGTTTGATGCCAAAGTATAGACAGAACATAAGAGACGCCAATAATGTTGGATCAGACCAAAGGTCCATCCAGTCCAACACTCTGTGTCACACAGTGGCCAGAAATACCAGGTGCCATCAGGAGGTCCACCAGGGGGGCCAGGACATTAGAAGCCCTCCCACTGTTGACCCCCCCCCCAAGTACCAAGAAGACAGAGCATCACTTGCCCCAAAGCCCCTATCTATACCTTGTGGCTAATAGCCACTGATGGACCTCTGCTCCATATGCTTATCTAAAGACTACCAAAATGGGTTTACCTCTAATGGTAAAAGCCAACAGCCAGTGGGCTCTCTGGACAGTTCCAAAATCAAGTCATCTATTTCAGTCATATCATTTGAGATTTTCAGAACTACATACAGTAGTTGTCAGGTCTGGGCTGGTAGTGAATTGTTCTCCCCTGCACATCTGTGGAATGTGAAACACCAAAGCAGTCTTGATAGTTAAATAAGCAAGCACTTTTAAACTCAAAACCAGGGGTCCCCAACCTTTTTGAGCCGGTGGGCAACTTTGGGATTCTGACAAAGGGTGGTGGGTGCAACCACAAAATGGCTGCCATCGCTGGGGGAGCCACCCACAAAATGGCTGGCACCCAAGGTAGACCCAACTACAAACTGTCAGGGAGGGAATTTATATATAACTTCAGTAGTAACTCCTCAACATTTCAGGCAGAGCATCTGTTTAATAAGATGCCTTTTCGCCTGCATAGCCTATCAGAAGTACTACTGGGCAGAAGCCCCCCCTGGCCTCGCCCACTTTTTAAAAGCACTTGGTGGGCACCAGGAAAGGTGCCGATGGGTGCCAGGGAGCCCACAGGCACCGTGTTGGGGATCCCTGATCTAAACCATTATTGTATTTTACATGTTGAATTCAGTTATATTGTGTGTTTTTTAAAGAACCTTCCTTTTCATCTGCAGACTTCTAAAGAAATATCTGGATATTTTTCTCAATGGCAGAAGTGGACTGAAGATATTTTTTCCACTTTGTGGCAAAGCTGTTGAGATGAAATGGTAAAAAGCAGCACTCAAATAGAATTTGTTCTCCATATATTATTTTTTGTCACTTACTTTGTTTATAGTCTGCCTTTCTCGTGGAGACTGAAGGTGGATTGCAACTAAAAATTATGCAGGGCTGTGGTCAGAATAATTGCTGAGCCAATTAGACAAATCTGCCTTCCTCAGGTGGCAGAGTTTGATGTAGCATTAATGAGCACTGTGTCACAGCGGGACAGAGTGGTGACGGAAGAAGAATGGATGAAGAAGTGGCAGTTGAAACACCCACCCTGCAAGGAGGCTCTGGGCAATTTGCAACCTTTAAAACATTTAAAAATGCAATTAATGCATCATTTAAAACACCAACAGAACAGTAAATTAAACCTATCCAAGATGGCAATTACAGTCCCTCCTTTGTTGGCCACACCACTGTTCTGCACAGCAGGGCAGGGAAGAGTATATGGGGGCCATAGGAAGAAAAAGAGGGTGCCAGCCTCAACCTCCCATTGCTGCCCTCAACTAAAAGCCTGGCAGAACATCTCTGCCTTACAAGCCCTGCAGAATTGCATCAGATCCCGCAGGGCCCTAGTTGAGGACAGCCAGACCTTCCTAGGGCTGGGGATCACCAGCAGGTTGTTACTGAGGTTTGCCATTTAGACTTTTATGTCTCAGACACTAAAATATCTTCATCACCTCTTATTATCTATGTATGTAACACAGCTTTATCCCCCTTTTTCTCCAAGGTGCTCAGGCTGGGGTACAATGCTGTCCCTTCACATTTTATCCTCAAAATAACCACATGAGGTTGATGGGGCTAAGGAAGTGTGGCCCCAGGTTACTTGGCAAATTTAATGTTAGAGTCAGGATTTGAACTCCCAGCTCCTAATCTAATGTTCTGCACACACAATAGTGTAATGCCATAGAAGAGGTAGGCGAGAACCTGTAAACAATAAGTGCTGCAAGCTAGTCAAGATGTGAGAGGCATTTATTGGACCAGGTTCAGGGCAGACTTGGGTTCATGAACATGAAGCTGAGCAGGCAAGATTGGAAAACCAATGTTTGGGTCAAAAGCACATTTTGGGGGAAAGATAAGGGAAGGACATGGATTGTACCATAAGGTTCTATGCAAAAAGGGTTAAATCTGCATAATATTTATCAAGATGGGTTAAGTCCCACATTTATTCTTTTGAGTGCAGAGAAGTTGGGTTATCTGACTTTTGGCTTTATCCTTTCCTTTATTAACAATAAGCTACATTGACCTCAAGTCTTAAGCCGACTTTTGGCTTTATAACTATCTGTGAGTTAGAGGAGGATTTAATGTGTTGCATGAAATCTGGGGTTGCAGTCAGAAATAGCCTCCTAAGTGCTGAGTTGCCCTGCTCTGTAACTTGTAGTAAAATTTGTTCTGTATTCTAACGTTGTTACATTGTGCATTTCTGTAACCCATCCAACAGCACTGTCTAGAATGAGGTCAGATGACAGGGTTTACTATCCATTACAGATAGTGAGGAGAGAGAATTTACAAGTAACCCCAGGTTTTGTAATCTATAGTTCCACTCTCAGGGCAAAGGCAAGTCCTTTAATAGCCACTTTGGGGGCCTCACCCTGTGTAATTACGAATTGCAGGTTCTCCTCAGTTCATATACAAGCAGTGCCTGATTCAGACTGCAACAGTGGCACACATGGTGAAGAGGATTTAGCCTTCCTCCCTTTGCCATTTTCCTAACACAATATGGTCCTGAGGTACACCTGGGTTTCCCCAAAGGGCCAAATAGTGCCCCCAAGAATTATTTGAGGTAAGAAAATGACATGGGGGGTAGCTGAAACCTGTTCTCTACATGTGCCACAGTTGTGATGTGAATTGAGTACCACCTATATGAAGAAGACTCTAAGAAGTCTCAAAGCAGTTTATAATTGACTTCCCTCCCTCTCTTCGCAGTCAGAAATAGCATCCTAGTGCTCAGCTGCCCTGCTCTGTAATGTGTAGTAAAATTTATTCTGTAGCCTGATGTTGTTACATTTGGCATTTCTGTAACCCAGCCAACAGCAGCCAATGAGGGTTTCTCTCCATAGTAGGTACCTTGTGTGGTAGGTGGGCCTGAGAGAATTCTGAGAGAACTGTGAGAACTGTGACTGGCCCAAGGTCACCCAGCAGGCCTCATGGGCTAGACTCTGTCAGTATTACAGTCTTCTCAGCCAGGGCTGAATTCAGACTCACTCTCCTCAGCATTCAGCTCTGAAGTCTTTCTCTGTGCAACTGATGCTAACCAATCAGATCTCTTGGAGCAGCCTGTCACTCAAGGCTCTCTGGCTTTGTGAGGAATTAACCCTTCATCTGTTTACACAGCACTTCTGTCCTTCTAAAAGTGGTCCAACACACCTCTCTTACATGTTTGCCTGTAAATTATTACTTCTTCTTCATCCTAGAGGATGAGGCATGGCTTTACATTTCATCAGCCAGTTGGACTTTGACTCTTTGTTTGATTTTTAACCACAGTTACAAAATATAAGAAAGCATGCTTACTTTTATCATTCCTCATAGGTTAGCTGACATGGGGCACCATATAGTTGGTGTAGAAATCAGCGAAACTGCTCTGAAGGAATTTTTCACAGACCAAAATCTATCCTATTCTGAAGAAACAGTTCCAGGGATCCCTGGAGCTAAATTAATGAAGGTTGGTATTGAGTCCCCTCCCCACCACCAAGCTTTCTTTGTTAAAAGCTTGTTTATTAGCACAGATTGCCAAGGACCTGATGCAGATATAATACTGACTTTATGCAAACCATGTTTTGCCATTCTGGAACCTTTCTCCATTTCCCTCCTGTTTGGATGGATTTCTTCTTCTTTTCTCAGTGTTAAGCATGGTTTTGCATGTTCTGACACAAACCATGGTTAATGTACATATGATTCCCCCCATAATGCAGAAGGTAAAACCGGCTGAGATTCCCTCCATTTCCCAGACTCCACCCCCTTCCCAGACTCCACCCACCCTAGACTCCTCCCTCAAATCTCCAGGAATTTTCCACCCTGGAGCTGGCCACCACTAAAAAAGGTCAGCTTATGAACCAGATATAATTGAAAGGAGGCACTCTTAGCAACTGTACCTGTCAACCTGTTTATCTGTCAACAAGCTCTTAACTCTGTCTACTTAAGAAAATGTAACCCCCATTTAAGGCTGGTAGATCAACACCAGCCAAATTACTTTAGAGAGTGTCAAGAAGAATACATTTGCAAAGTCTTATTTGCAGGAAACAAGAGTTATCCCTGTCCTGGGTAAAGCTGTTACTTCTGGTTCCTGCCTTGTTTTTCTGCCATCACTTCCCCCAGTGTAGTGCTTGTGTTGGAGTAACTGGAATCAAATGATAAGTTTGTGGTAGAGAGAACATTTGAATTTGGACTGGTGAATGTTTATGTTTGGCTAGGCAGTTGTGGTTTCTTTGCAGGTTTTTTTGTTTGCTTGTGTTGAATTATTTAATCTTTGTATTTTATGGTTTTATACTACTGTGAGCCACTTTCAGGTTAGGATAAAAACTGCAGAATAAACAAATAAAAATGAATGCCATTTCTAATTTATTTATTTGAATGTTTATGTCCCACATTTCCTTTGTGACTCAACATGGTTTACAATTCCAAATGTAAAAGCATACAAAGTAAATAAACCCCCCAAGTAATTATTTAAAGCCCTATCACATAAAATGGCCTTGCAGTGCCTCCTAAAAACATCTAAAGATGGCACCCCTCTCACCTCCTCAGTGGGAACCTGTTCCATAAAGTGGGAGATACTATAGAAAGAGGAAAAGGAGAAGAGAAGGCTTTTGTACCCTGCTTTTCTCTACCCTAAGGAGTCTCAAAGCAGCTTACAATCCACTCCCCTCAACTGGTACCTTGTGAGGTAAGTGGGGCTGAGAGAGTTCTGAGAGAACGGTGACTGGCCCAAGGACACCCAGCAAGCTTCAGGTGGAGGAAGGGGAGAATCAAACCCAGTTCTCCATATTAAAGTCCACCACTTTTAACCACTTAGTGGGCTTCCTGAAGCTGGGGAACCACTAGTAATTCAATCATAATTATTTAAATGTTTTTCTTGCATGTTGCTTCACCATGGTTTTACCTTAACAACATAACTGAGAAAAAATTCCCTTGGAATTTTCCTTGGAAACCATGGATAGATTATATAGCTCATGGATCTGTTATGCTGCTTATACAAATACTGGAAACAACCATCCTTTTAATTTTATTTGCATAGTGTTTTCTAAAAGGAAATCCTATTTGTGTAGGAAATTCATTTCAAGAAGCTCTTAGCTGAAGTGTTCAAGGTTAGAGACTTTGTTTAAATTCCCTTATTTATTGCAACTCTTACTTCTGTCCAGCAGAGCTGTTAATGCTTCAAAGATCTTCAGATTAAAAAGCACTTGATCCTAGTTGTACCTTCTGCCTTGATTCATTTTTTGTAATATTAATTGGAAACATATTCTCTATTTTTCATTGTAGAACACATCTGAGAATATTTCTTTGTACTGCTGCAGTATTTATGATTTTACCAGGTAGGAACAAAATGGTGCTTTTGAATCTGTCCACGGTCACTGGTGTGTTTGATGTTCTTTAGTTGTTTTTGGTATGAACTCACAGAAGCCTGAGGAATAAAAAAAAAAGTACAGCCGACGTTGATCACTGCATGTTTCACCTTCTGAACATACTTTATAATTCCCAGAAGTAGGGTGCGGCTAGTCATGATTCACTAAAAATGCTTCCTGTTTATAAAGTTAAAAGATCTCATGTGAACATTGAAATGTGTTGTCGTATTTGCAGCTTATGTGCATGCAGTGTTATTGGGGCTTGATGTTAGGACTTGGTTAGGAATGCCTAACGCAACCCTTAATAGTTAAAATCAATGGGGAAATGGGATGAGACCTGTACCTCTAGGCTGAGACATAAATTTTGTTCTACCTGAGCTGGTCTGTGATCACTTTTGTTTCCAAACAGAGTTTATCATGATAAGGTAGGCTAAGAGGTCATTTCCTTGTTTCTGCCAATGCCATTTTAAAGAAGAATTTGGCCACTTGAAAATGCCACGAGGGCTCAGTCCTGAGCAGGCCTGTGGGGTGTCCCCTTCCTTGCACCTTTTCAAGCACCCAAACTTTTCGGTGCTTGAAAAGGTGCAGATGAGACAGATCCTCTGCTTTCACCACACCCTGATCAGGCTCTTGTGGCATTTTTAAATGGCCAAATTCTTCTTTAAAACCCCATAGGTGGCCACGGATTGGACCCATGGCTGCCATAACTTCCAGTTTGGCCCTAAGCCCATTGATTCCAGTCGACTTAGAAAGGTATAACTCTACTTAGATTGCACTGTACATTGTTTTACATATTCCAAAGTTAAGGTAAAGGTAAAGGTTCCTTTGCTCGAAAGCCAGTCGAATCCGACTCTAGGGTTGCGGTGCTCATCTCTGTTTCAAAGCCGAAGAGCCAGCGCTGTCCGAAGACATTTCCATGGTCATGTGTCCGGCATGACTAAACACCAAGGTGCACGGAATGCTGTTACCTTCCCACTGAAGTGGTACCTATTTATCTACTTGCAATTTCTTGCTTTCGAACTGCTAGGTTGGCAGGAGCTGGAACTAGAGACGGGAGCTCACTCCGTCATGCAGCACACTCGGGTCTCGAACTGCTGAACTACCGACCTTACGCAGCCTGCAGTTCAGCGTCTTAACCACTTGAGCCACACGGAAGTAAAGTTTTGTTTGGGGGGAGGGTAATGAAATCAGGCTGCAATCTAGTGCACACTTATTTGGAAGTGAGTCCTGATGCACACAGAGTAACTTCCTTCTGGGTAAACTTGCACAGAATTGGGCTGTAAGAAAGTTCAAAATTAACTAACAAATTTTATTACCCATATCATCCTTTCCACCCACAAGTAGGCAATGTGGTGCCTTTGGGTTTGCTAGACTTTCTCTAGCTGTGCACAGCCACCATTGAACTGCTAGGTCTGTATACTTTTAGCACACAAGAAAAATCACCCCATGCTGCATATTTTACATAAAGAAGTAATGTGTAGGTCTTTTCAGTTCTGCATAAATATTGCTGTTGCATAATTGGGGTGGTTTTTGTTCATGCAGTATGGAATCACAGGGGGTTACTTTAAAATCCTATGCTTCTTTTGTGGAACATCTGCTTTCCTGCCCCTCAGCTAATAAAAACAAGATACCTACCTTTATAATACACAACTTTTTATCTCCTTGTAGCTCTGTTGCTGGCAAATTTGATGCCATTTGGGACAGGGGGTCTCTAGTAGCAATTAACCCTCGTGACAGAGAACGGTCAGTAATTTATATTGCATTTTATTCTGCAGTAACTGTTATTTACTCTGTTATTTATTAGAGCTTCTGGTCATTTCATTCTCTTTTTCAGCATTTTTTGTATTTTGTTAATATGTGCATATGTGTGTACACGCGCGTGAGTGTGTGTGCACCTGGAAGTCATGGCAACCTCTGGTGACTGACCCCTCCTGGGGGCCTGGAGGATATTCAGAGAGGCGGCTGATTAAAGCCTGCCCCCGCCTCCTACTGCCTCTAGTATTCCAAGGAGGTCTCCCATTCAAGTACTTGCCAGAGTTGACCTTGCTCAGCTTCCAAGATCTGATGAGATCAGGCTTGCCTGGGCTATCCAGGTCAGGGTTGGCCATTTCATTCTTGATTTAATTGCTCAATAATTTGCTCTAGTCACTCAGCTTCTCAAGTCTACTTTTAATGAGGCTGTCAGTTCCCGCCTGAGGCAGGGAATCCCCCACCCCGGCTCCCATTTCCCACCACTGGTCTGACAGTCAGCAGGAGAAAAAAAACCACATTAAAAGTTTGCCATCAGCTGACAACATTACATGAGTTCTGGGGGAACCCAGAACTACAGTCTGCTCTAGGAATTGCTGGAAACTCTGGTAAAAAAAACCCCATGTCTCTGCCCTGCCCCCTGTAGCGTGCTGCGCAGCTGGCGTCACCAGGTCTACCTTCAATCAAAGAGCCAGTTGCACCCTGCTGAGATTCCCGCCCCCCCCCTGCCCCAATTTAAGCCCGTTGGCAGCCAGTGGCCGGCAACTATAACTTTTAATCATTGAATGTGTTGATCTCCCAGAATAGATGAAATACTTCTGGAAACCTCCGGTTGGGCATTGCAGTGAAGTAACTGAGCTCATGACTTAAAACATTAGCATTACATGGGCTTGAGGGAGGGCCTCGGAAGCCTACATTACATGATCCCTTAAGCATCATGGGGCTCAGAGCCTGAATTGCAAAATCCAAACAGTATTCTCTCTCCTCCTGCCCTGTTAACTGGACAACACTGCATTGCACAGCAGTTAACAGGTAAATAGGCTGGGCCGGCAAGGAAGTAAGCCATAGAGGAAAACTGAAACTGTGCTGTTGTTGCAGAACGTTGAGGGAGGGAGAGGGTGTTATTAAGGACCTGGACCTGTGAGCTTGGAGCAACTGCCCCTTTTTGCCCATTGCGTAAAGCAGCCCTGAGTGAAGCACAGTCCTCCATGAAGCTCACCTGCAAAAGCCTCAGTGAAGTGAATGGTAACTAACTACTCAAGGAGCACTACTGTTCATTTCAGAGAGACTAGCTCAGCAGGATTTCCTGGAGGGTGGTCTCATGGATTAGGTATGTCTGTCTCCCATTCTTTCAGTCCTTCAGTGTACATAAAATCTACAACCTAAGATGACCCCTTCACCTTGCCTCTTGATAGAATCTCCACTAAACCCATTACATTTTTATAGAGCTTTTAAAATGCAAAGTCCAGTACAGCAAAGATCTTGTTTGGCTTAGTTGTGCATATTCAGTGCTTGGTTTATATATACACAAATATGATTGGTGCCTGAGTTGATCTTTTCTTCTTCTTAGCTATGCCAATTTGATGATATCACTAATGAACAAGGGGTGTCGCTATCTTCTAGTTACCGTTTCATATGATCCAAGCAAGCATACAGGTAACACACAGTAGTCCAATCTACAGCTTAAATCATTAGAATTTAACAATAGCTTCAAACAACCCAATTCCCCATCTTTTTTGTGACTAATTGGTTTGTAATTGGGGATTAACATGAAATTGGGTCATGAGATGAGTTTAATATGGGATTATGGGTTCAGGAAGCCTTCCAAATCAGGTTTGCCAAATGTATCCCAACAGACTGTTGGTGTCCCATGTCTCATTAAAGTACTATATCTTGGCCCTTAAATGAGCCCAGAAGATAGTTTATAAAAGTTCCTATTTAAAATTCAATTAAAAATAATATCAAAACAGGTCAGGTCACTAGTTAGCTACAATACCAAATAATCCCACTATTCATGCAACTGAATGACAGCTTGGTTTCTTCTGTGCAGTTGGAAAAACCAGTTGTGTGAATTAACTTTTTGGCTCAGTTCAAGTGTTAAAGTGAGACCTGGATTTAGGGATCAGGGCCAGGCCATGGCATGGTGTGAGGTCTCCCCGTTGTATCCTTACTCTTCTTTAACCAGTTTCAATTAACTTTGAAAGCCCAGCTATATCAGAATGAGTTTAGGCTGCATATCCAGGTTTATTATTTCTCATCATTAAATGTGCCAGTTTCTTTTCTAGGTCCTCCATTCTATGTTCCTGAATCAGAAGTGAAAAAGTTATTTGGTGAGTCAATTCAAGTAAAAAATTTAATTTCTACCAAAATGAATATGACAGACCCAAACAGATCATTTCACCTGCTAATAATGGATAGTAATAGTTTGTGCCAAGATTTGCTTCCTATCTAGAGGTCATGGTCTGAAAATAGACACCAGAAGGGCATCAGTGCACTAAAAAAAACACTGCTTTCCCTAAATGGGATAGCTGCTGATTGTTTCATGCTAGGAAGAAACCTGAACCTACACTCCTGGTCTAACAGATAAAATTCCCCTTGTAGCCCAAGGTTATTTTCAGTGCTGAGCATCCAGTAATTTAACTTAGATTCCTGGATCAGTTCTTATTATCTCATAATGTTTCAAAATCCCTACCTTCAGAGAAGTCAAGTATCCTTCACCTCATCTCTGCTCTGGGTACTTGAGTATGTTGAAGCTATTTCAAGAACCTTTTGATGCCTGTATCATCTGCATAGTGCCATTCACATCACCACAGTCCATCTTATCAGCATAGTCAGAAGCAACATCTTAATGTACAGCAAAATGCTAGTAACCTTGTGTGTGCCAGTATCAGTTGTGTGTTGTTTGCCTGCCTGTTTCCATGTTTTTTAATGCAACTACATACACAGTGAGTAAAATGATCATGTATGCAAATACAGCAGTGCTTGTAAGCAAGACCTCTGTGTTTATTTACATTCCTTGGCCATTTTGTTATCTGCATACACAGAAAATAAAATAACACAAGAACAGGCATTTCCAAACATAGCAGAGAGAAGGATTTGAAGAATGGATCTGAGACCCGGATTTAGGTTTCTTCTGCACAGGGACACAAAAATGTGCCTTCACTGCAGTAGCTATGAGTGGCATCAAAGTGGGTGGGGATGGTAGCCACTGTCCCCATTCCCCCCTGCAGTAACCACTGGGTGACCTGATACTACACAGTTTGCATGACTAGTGTGCTAGAGCCACCAACCCATTTTCTCCAGGGGAACTGATCTCTGCTATCTAGAGAGCAGTTGTACTTCTGAGTGATCTCCAGTCCTCAACTGGAGATTGGCAACGATGGTTCCCCAGGAGGACCAGTGCAGTCTTTCTCCACAGTGGGGACCAAAGCAGCGTACATCATTCTCCTCTCCTCCTGTGAAGGTAGGTTAGGCTGAAAATCTGTGACTGGTCTGAAATCACCCACTTAGCTTCCACAGCAAAATCCTGGGTCTGGCAGACCCTGCTCTGAAATGCTAACTGCTACACCATACTGGCTGTCCTAGTTGAGAACCAGTTTGGAGTAGTGGTTAAGAGTGTGGAGTCTAATCTGGGAAAACCAGGTTTGATTCCCCATTCCTCCACATACAGCTGCTGGCGTGACCTTGAGTCAGTCATAAGTTCTTTCAGAACTGTTCTCTCAAGGGCAGTTCTCAAGCCCCACTAACCTCACAGGGTGTTTGTTGTGAGGAGGGGGAGGGAAAGTATTGTAAGCCACTCTGAGATTCCTTTGGGTGTACTGAAGGGCGGGGTGTGAATCCAATCTCTTCTTCTTCTAAATATTTAAATATTAAAAAATAGAGGGGCTGCTGGATGTGAACAGGAGCAAGCAGCCAGGCCTAGTTGTCATGCGAGTCAGGTATCATCAAGTCACCCAGAGGATGCTGCCAGGCTTCGAGTAGCCAAACTCCAGGTGGAGCCTGAAGATCACCTGGTATCACAACTGAAATCCAGACAACATCTCTCTCCCTCTGGAGAAAATAACTGCTTTGGAGGGTGAACTCTATGACATTCTATTCAGCTGAGGCCTCTCCCCTCTGCAAACTCTGCGTTCCGTAGACTCCACCACAAAATCTCCAGGAATTTCCCAACCTGGAGCCCGCAACCCTAGTCAGGATGGGCCCCGATGAGTTTTCTCTCAAAGGCCAAAATAGGCCAGGAAAGGGCCTCCTCCCACCACCTTTTACTGACAGAGCCAAGCTTGTTTGCGTAGCAACAGTCACTGAAACGAAAGTGAGCTTAGCAGTAGGAGGCGGTGAAATGTCTTAGTCAGATAGCCGTTTTATCAGTTTATGCTGTCAGGGAATAGTGGTCAGGCTGGCAGTGGGCGGGCAAGAGGAGCAGACCCAGCGTGCGAGTACTCTTGAGTGGCAGTTGATTGGCCAATGGCTGATGGAGCACACAGCACAGCCAATGGGAGAGCCATTTGTGTGTGATGGCTAAATTCTACTTATGCAGTAAAAGGCCAAAAATGCTGAAATAAAAAGGGTTTTGCCTAGCAGACTAAATCCTTGAAAAATTGGGAGCAATCTTTACTCACCTCTATGTAGAACTGTAATGTGATGTTCTCACTTTCATTTCAGGCCAATGCTGTGATATTAGGCTGCTTGAAAAAATAGATGGCTTCACAGAGCGTCATAGAGCTTGGGGTTTAGATTATTTCTGGGAGGTAATGTACATGCTCCTGTTAAAATAACAAGACAACACCCAAGAGAACAACAATCCTAAATGGGTCTACTCAGAATCCTATTCATCTACTCAATGGGCTTATGCCTAGGAAAGTGTTCTTAGAATAACCACACTCAGGGGATGACTACTTGATTTCACAACACAGTGTTTTGCACATTCAAAATGAAATTTTCTAGATACTTGATTTGATTCATGATAATTGTGTCTAAATCCTGTGAATTTCTATAAAAATTATTTTATTTTTGTCTTTTGTCTCCTGAATTATTTTATAAACATGGCTGAAGAGTGAATTTGGGTACTGGGAAGGACAGGGGTGAGGGGTGGGGTTTCTGTACTATGGCAGCTGCTCCTGTTTTCAGAGAACTACAGTGGGTCATGAAGCCAGAGAGAAGATTCATATGGCCATAAAGTACATGGAAACCACTTGAAAACCCCTGTACATTCTAGATTCCGGTGTTTTAGGGATGTACATCAACCCATTACTCTTGTGCAGCTTTTACAAGAATCATTGGCAGAAGACGAACTTTCCCACAGCATACAAGATTGTCATGTAGAAGTGTGGAGTAGCTCTGATCTGGAGTTTAACTGGGCAGTCCTAAGCCGAGTTACACCATTTCAAGTCCACTGAAGTCAATGGGTTTAAAAGGCTGTTACTCTTTTTAGAATTGCAGTGTAATTCAGAAACCCATAAGCAGTGGATCAAGCTGTGAGGTTTGACATATAGAGCCACTCCCCTTTGTGGCATTTCGATCGATTGTCTCTTGTGTCAGAACAGTTAGTGGTATTCATTACCTGTGCTGCTGTCTTAATGAAAGCCTCCCTTTTGCTGAGGCAGCTGTTCCTCTGCTGTCAATCCACATCCTTGTTGCAAAAGCACTGGCTGCACTTTTGATGAAAGGCCTCCAGTTGAGGAAACAGCTGCTGTGACAAGGAAACAGCAAGGAGAAGCAGCTGGTAGTATCTGCAGCAAAAAGAACATTTCCTCTTTTCCCCCCGTCTTGGAAAGTAAAGTTTAACACTTTAGCAAAAAAAAAAGCAGGATAAGATTATGAAGGAACAATTTCCTAATTGTCAGACTCAAAGACCTGTCTTCATCTGTTTCTTGAAAATACCAACTGGGTTTGAGATGAGCAGCTGCCTGGAGTGAAAAAACCCATATAAGATTTTTCCGAGAAGAAACCTAAGTGGGCAGGGTGTTAGGAATGAGACTGATATTTTGCTTTATGGATTTATATTTGCTGCCAAACACTACATGGACTGTGCACACACACCCATAGGCTCAAGTCACAGAGAAGGTGACTGCTCTAAGCCTTGCATGTTAATGAGGTTTCAAATACACAGCTACTAGCCTGAGGGAGAAAGCACACATCGCCATTATTGTCAGATAAAGCAGTTCGGCTAACAAGGGCTTTAAAAAATAGCTTGGTTTCTGGCTAGTCATAAATTGTGGGATTAGACTCTGTCAAGCAATCTGTTTCTGTAAGAAAACAGAGCCTTTTAAACTGAAGCAGAGAAGCTTTTAGAGTCCTGTTTGTGGAATGAGGTAAGAATCATAAACAAGTTTCATAAAGACATGGAATAAAATACGTAGGATTTGTAGGGCTGTGTTTTGAACCTGCCTTTAACAAAAGAGGAAGAAGGCAGGCAGTGTTTACTGATCCCCTCCCCTTATAAGATCTGCATTAACTGTGATTGTTTTTTCCTGACAGGATGCCTGTGCATTTAAAAGTCATGTGGTATGCAGACGTGACTAGGTACAGCTTTTCCCTGTTAATAAGGCACACACCCCATGCTGAGAAGATTGCACCTGTTGCATTTCTACTTGCATCCAGCTGTTACAGAAGTTTCTGTCATGAAAGAGTGAGGGCAGGCCGTTCTTCTGGAGTGGCAGTTTGTCCCACCAGGATTCCTGTAGTGTGGCTGTTACAAAGCTGATGGAAACACTTTGGGTTGCAGAAAATCAAAATGGTTCTCCCTGCTTATGTCAGTCACCATTCTGCCAATGAATAGCAATCCTGGATCAACCCGTAAGAAACAGTCCTGTGAAGGAAATGTCTAGGCTGCAGTAAGGGTGGCCTCCTTTCCTTCAATTTGCAGTTGTTCTCTGCCTTCACAAAAAGAGGCATGCTGCTTTTAGCAGGCTCTTCTGAACAGCTAGCTAGCTCCCTTATTTAATTCAACTTTGTTATGAATATTATAAACTATGTCTCCTTGTTTGAGTCCAGTGGTTTCCCTGCCCATCACTAGGCCACCTTATGAAGGGTCCTTAGCTGCTTCTTTTATGAGCTATTTGGGAAACCAGGCTTTTTGCCCGGCAACTTTCAAGGTGGCCTCATTCAAGCTTGTTGGTTTGAAACTTAGTCATTTCTGGAGACAATACCAACAGGCCTCCTTTCCAGGTGAGAGGTAGGTAGCGTAACTGATGTAAATCAAAGATTATTGGAAGGCATTCAAAAATCAAATGTCCTTGTTTGTTATGCCCATTTTCTCCCAAGTCAAGCATCTCATATTGCACAGATGACTTATTTGCAATTTAAAACAAGCATTATTTCGAGTAGTTTTCTGCCTGTGGAGTGGAAGCATCCAACATAGTGCATGCTCACAGTTGACTGGCTTGCTGGGCTTACAGTATTCCCAGGGGTCAGTATGGGAAAATCTTACACTATTAAGAATCAGCTACATTTTGCATTTATGTGCACCCGCACAGTGAATGGCATTCACCAGTCAGATCAGCCAACAATATTCACTGCATTGATAAATGCTTAGAAATTACTGGATTGAACTACAGTTCCCAGGAAGGCAGTGCAAGAATATACAAAGCATTTGTGATCAAATTTAGGACACAGTTTCCTTCTCAGAGCTTCTATGATCAGATTATCCTGAGCAATGTCTGAAAGAATAATATATTATTTACTAAAGGAAAATATGCTAGACAGGAATTTGGCAACCAAGTAGGTTGTGTTTGGGTCACTGTCTAGCATCAGATAGGAAATACAATCCTCTTGAAGTTTATTAAACAAAGAGCATGTTAAAAGCTGTAAGATCCAACAGTTCCTAAAAAATGGTAAAAAAACAACATTCTAATATTTTGTGATACAGAGTGTCAATTTTACCCTGACTGCAAGGGCAGAGACAATTTGAATATGGGATATGACAAAAATCTGTCATGTAATACTTTGGAGTAGATGGTATTAAGGCAAGCTAAAGTGAATGCCCTAACCAGGGTTAGGTGTCTCATATAATGACAGAGTTTGAGGAGGCAAAGTACTAAAGAATTGACTTGAGCAGACTCTGCGAGTGCGAATCACCATACTGTTGTAATCCAGCTCTGTTAAATGATGCTGGACAAGTAAAAGGGTCTTTGCCCTACCTAGCAAGACGACATCTTCAGTTATAAGCCCTAGCTGCCTTAACCTAGCATCTACTGTCTTCTTCCATCAAGAATGGTAAGCATCTTGTTTAAGAAAAAACAGCAAATCTTCAGCTTCAAAAGCAAAAATAATCCTTAGCCTTAGTTTGAAAGCATTGAGCCATTCTCTGGTTCCTAATTACTATTGGCCGAATTCAGCTCTGAGGGATACATCTGAGCTGCTGTGAGGGACTCCCATTATCCTACGTGTAAACTTACATAAGGGATGGTCAAAAGATTCTGAGTTCACCAAAATCCAGATAGGAACACCATATAATATCTGGCGTATTATTTTAGAGTTGCACTGGGGATATATCCCACCCCCGGTAAGGAAGGAGCAAGATATTGCTCCAGAAGCAAGCTTAGTCTTATTCAAAACAAACTTACTCTAGTAAGACCAGGAAAGGTTTGAAGAAAAAACAGTCCCCAGGTAGCAGGTATGCCTGGCTTGTTCAATGGCTCAGTTTGCTATAATCCATTTGGAATGTTTTTTAAAAAAACAAGATTTTAGATTTGTTACAGTTTATTTGCAACTCCTCATTTATGCAATAGTTTGAGAAACATCTAGTAGACTAGGGAATGCCTGAACCATCAAGAAGTCATTTTATTTTAAATCCATTTCACTAAAAGTAGGCCTGTGAAAGAGACAAGTGAAATATTCCGTTGATATGTCAAAGCTTAACTGGCAAGAAATGATATAGAAACTGGCTGAAATGACTGCAGTTGGCTAAAGTCCATGGCTGTTGCAAATAAACCACTCTGAGCTATCCAAACAGGATGAAACTGCAGACAAGACAGTGAAACAGGTGAGGGGTTGAGAATGACATAATGAGAACAGCTCCGTAACCAGGAATTTTTTCAAGGGGAACACCAGGGCGCTTGGAGTGCCAATTAAATTGAAGTTAATTAAATTAAACAGGTGCAGTGGAGGGGAGAGAGCTCCTTACCCCGGTGGCTCCCACTCCAATTGCCTGCGTCTGGCCAGAGAGGTGGGTTAGCAAATCCCAGCCTGGATGAGAGTGAATCAAGGTTCCCTGAGAGAAAGGCAGGACTGTCAAGGAGGCCAGGTGGGCTGGAGGCACGGCAGCAGGTGATGGGATGGTGGAGGTGGCCAGAGCAGACTCTGCCTGGCTGTGGCTCTGTCTGCTCTTCTCTTGCCTCGCACTGCCTGGCAGCCAGTGGCAGGGGAGATGCGTGACTGAGGCAGGACAGACTCAACTAAGCAAGCTGGACCCAGAAGAGCTCGAAAGTGAAATCTGCAAACAGGTGGCATGGGGGGGGATTTGGAGGGATGGCAGGTGAAAGGGAGACAGAAATTAGACAGCCAGACCCAAAGGGAACAGCTAGGAAAGGGCGAACTGCAAAATAGACTGCAGGGAGAAATGTCCCGATCCTAGCCTACTCACTTGGAAGTTTTACTGCCATCAGTGGTGAGGGTATGCAAATTTGATAGGGGCACTGCTGATTTTGCAGGGGGCGCAGCCCTCAGTGCCCCATCTCTGACTACAGGCCTGAATGAGCATGATAGTTTTGCATGCGCGCACATACACACACCCCTTACAATTTCAACAAGCTCCCTGGGAAGATGGATAGAGAAAATTATAGCTTAATTTGCCTGACCTCATAAGTCAGATAGGCTCTTTAGGAAGCAAGAATGGGTTAATAATTAGTGAGACTCACAAATGTCAACTTACCTGAGCTGCAGGAACTAGGCCAAGTAGAGAAAGGAATGAAGTTTGGGGCAGTAGAGAAGACTCCCAGTCAGGCCAAAGGAAAAGGGATAGATCTTCTAGAGAGAGAAGAAGATGATTCCCTACCTAGTCAAACAGGGAGAGTTATCTCTGAGGAGTACAGAGATCCCTGGTCTGGTGTGATTACCAACTGCCTGTAGAGACCTTAAAAGTCAGTGAAAAACTCAAGAAGAGTACTGGTGTTCCACAGAGGTTTGGGTACCAGCTATCTGGGTACCAAGACAGTCAAAGATTACTCAAATAAAGTGAACAAGAGTGTTTGGGAAAACACCGGAACAAAAGCCTCTCAATATAAAGATCTAAGTAACTGTGAATGATTTAAGAACCTCTCCTTAGCCTGATATATAAGATCAAAAGTCTGTGTTTGTACTAGTTTTACCTCAGTATTTTCAACCACTGGTTTCATCTGACCTTTCCCTTTGATGTTAAGCAAACGCTTTCATTATTTTTGCATTTTAAAGGTATCTCATGCCATTTTCAAGGGTTTAAGTTAAAGGGCAATCTTATCCCTTCCCTTGGGGTCCTGGGCTGAACAAATAGTCAAAATATATCTCACTGAGAGGGTGAGACAGACAAAGTTTCTTCAGGGGTATTGTGTAGTGGGTTAACCGCATGGAAGGCCCGCTGCGGCTCGCATGATACCCTGCACACCTTGCTAGTACACAACAAAGACTAACGGCCGGCTGGCGATCTAGTTCTGCGTCGATTTTAAGCTTGACCGACAACGGAACCATCCTGGCGCGCATTTGGATGGGGCCACCTTTGGGTCTAGGAGCAGGGACACCGGGGGGCCCATATAGCGGCCCAGGGAGTCATCGAAAACAGTGGGAAACTCCTGGCATATCCCTTTGAAATCCTGGTTTGTACACAGCTGGACTCCCTTGACCGAAATTCCCAGGGGCTCAAACCAGGCGCAACCCAGGAAGCTGACCAAGTCGCCCTCTACCACTATCAAGACCAGACATCCCTTGAATTGCCCATACTGCACTCTGAAAGACCCAACCCCTTTAATCAGCACCCGGTTCCGCTGAAAGTCCATGAGCATCACCTGAGCTGAGTGCAAGCGGGATCCCCCCTTTCGGCACAAGTGCTTAAGTGTGGCCTCAGAAATTATCGAGGTGGTGGAGCCAGAGTCTATTTCCATATGGCATGGAGACCCCTTTATTGTAACCGTGGCTAAAATTTTAGGGGTAGGCAATTTGCCGGGAAGTTGCAGTACCTTTGCAGCTGTCTGTGTGAGGTGGTAGAGGTCCCCGGCCTCTGCGTCGTCCTCGCAGTGCGCGTCCACTCTGTGACGCGGTGGCGGCGCCTTCTTTGTCTTCGAGCAGCACACGCGAGCAATGTGGCCAGTCCGCCCGCAGTTTTGGCAGATCGCGTCGCGGAACCGGCATGACTTTCTCTCATGCTTCTCTCCACAGCTCGCGCAGTCGGTAGCTGCGGCGCGGAGTTTTTCTTGCCCTTGAGAGCGCTGCTTGGGCCCTGTGTATTCTCGGTGGACCTCTTGCTCCTCAGGGTTGTCTGGCTCGACCTGCAGGGCCACGGTTGTGGCGGGGTGCGACCGCTCCCAGGCAATGGCGGTGGATAAGGCAGAGGCAAGGGTGATGGTCTCTACTGCAATGATCCACCGCTTGAGCGTCTCCTCCCTTAGTCCCACAACGAAACGGTCCTGGAGGGCATCTGTGGCTAGATGACGGAGCTCCGCGAGGAAATCCGTGACTGTCTCCCGGGTGAGCTGACTACGGTTGTAGAACGCCAGCTGACAGGTAATCTCCGATGGCTTCGGAGCATAGTGGTCTTGCACCGCCTTGACTATCTGGTCAAAGGAGCAGGCGTCGAGGTCCGTCGGGGACAGCAAGCATTCGGCTAGGGACACGATGGCGGTTCCGCAGGAGGCAAGGAGGAAGTCTCTCTTTTGTGCGTCGTCCGTCACCTTGTAGAAGGCGAGCGCGGACTTTACGCCTCGTACCCATGCACTCCAATCTTGTGGGTGAGCTATGTCGAAGGGCGGCAGCAAGCATGGTGTGGGCACCGTTGCCATCGTTCCCGTCGGGGCTGGCGGTGCAGAATCGGCTTCTCCTGTGGTCTCGCTCATCGGTCAGCTGCGGAGCTGCGTGCTTTCAGTCGCCACTCAGCAGCACGACTGGCCTAGCGGAATCCCATCCTCATCGCCACTATTGTGTAGTGGGTTAACCGCATGGAAGGCCCGCTGCAGTTCGCATGATACCCTGCACGCCTTGCTAGTACACAACAAAGACAAAGACTAACGGCCGGCTGGCCAACTATGTACATACCTGGGGACACACCCCCAGGTCCCATTGGTGGGTTTAAATCTCCCGCCACGGTCCCATTGGTCCCCTAGTGGAGGGACCAGGAGCCTAGGCCCCATTGTTCTTCCAGAGTCAAGCTCTGAGGTATTCACTGGCCCCTGGTGGCGGTCAGCGGACACAACAAGGGAAGAAGAAAACATGTTGACCAGGTTCATGAGGTCCTTCTAGGGAAGATGTGGTAGACTTTAAAAAGAGCAAAATGCCGAAGGATTGCAATCTTCTGGTACTTTACCTCTAGTCCCATAAAAGGAAAGTCTTCAGTAGTCCTGATACTCTCCTGGAGAGCTTTAAAATGATTGTTAGTCCCAGCATTTGTTTTTATAAAGTCATAAAGCTTGCTCTGTTTAGAAGATGGCAGGGGGTGGTCCTCAAAAGGAAAACCTCTTTTCCTAGTCATAATAAGTTAACAAATAAAAGGACTAATATGCAAGCTGATGAATTCAATAAGTCAGTAACTCAGGATAGATAGGTTAGTAGCTATAACTCATAAACAAGCAGTGCTACCAGACAGTGGAACAGAGATAGAGGAAGCAAACCAGGAACAAACCATGCCAAAAACCAAAACAGGGGTAAACTAAACCTTGTCCTTTTCTTAGTAAATCCCCCCCCCAAAAAAAGAGGGAGGTAGGATGATGTAAAATAGAATAAAAATGGGGGAAATATGGGGATTAGAAGAGGTAAGCCAGCATCTTTGTGCGACTTCCTCCCAGTGTTCCCTCTAAGCTGAGTTAGTGTGAGCTAGCTCACAGTTTTTTAGCCTCCGGCTCACACATTTTTGTCTTAGCTCAGGAAGGATGGCTCCAGAGCAAACTAATTTATGCAGGAGCCAAATCCCTCGCTCACAACTTTCATGCCAGTAGCTCACAAAGTAGATTTTTTGCTCACAATACTGTTGATTTTGGAGAGCAAGGCCTTTAGTGAGGTTGCAGATGTTGCTGGTGTGAAGAAAATCAAATCTCTGCCCATGTCCTTTATTTGCCTTAGTGGACTTTAGTCTTGCATTGATCCTTGATAAGTAAAAGGGCCCCAGTCAGTAGCATTTGTATAATCATCTTCCTGGACTGAATTGCCATGGATACAATCATATGGGAACATGACAGTCGGCAGATGCATATTTATGTCCATTTTAACTCAAATTAAAAAGAAGACACAGAAGGAAAAACTGGAGATCAGTGGTCTGCCAGAGCTCTCTCGTATTATACTGAGCTCTCTTGTATTATACTGAGTTTCCTAAAGAGGGCAGCAAACTACAAGCAAAACGTGCACATGGAATCCAGTCTTAGACTTCACTGACCTCTGATGTAAGGGGGTCTTGTGATCATCCAATGTGACCAGATGACAGAGCACGCCGGCAGCGGAGTGAAGCAGATATCCTCTTAGAGTTGTAGAAATGTCTGTCAAGGCGACTGAGAAAGCACAGATAATGACAGAGCTAGTTGATCAGACGGAGACCAGTCTGCTTGAATGCAAAGTGTGCTTTGAAAGGTACAGCTCGCAGAAAAAACATCGCCCAAGGAACTTACCATGTGGACACGTCATGTGCCTGGGATGTGTCTGTTCTCTGGCCCATCCCCGGAATTTTAAGTTCGAGTGCCCTTTCTGTCGGAGAGCCTGCAAGTCTTCCGAGACCAGCGACTGTTTGCCGCTATTGCACTTGATGGAAATCTTGAGCCCTTCTACTATTAATGCTCCAGTTCCAGGAAGGACCATTGGGACAGGTGAGGATATGGCTGTACCAGCATCTCATGTCTTAACATTCAGTCTTTCCTTTGGAGGATGGGGAACGCTCATCAATCCAACCGGGATTGCCGTATGCCCGAAGTCTGGCTGCATAGCTGTAGCTCATGATGGCAAGAAGAGGATTAAGCTCTTTTCTTCCAACGGGAACTGCGTACAACAGTTTGGAGAGAGAGGAGAGGCAGGAAATGACATAATGTACCCCACTGATGTCACAGTCACCTTGGACGGCCACATCGTAGTCACAGACAGTGGAGATCGCTCCGTCAAAGTGTTTGATTTTAATGGCAGAGGCAAGCTAGTGATCTCAGAGTCCTTTTCATTACCTTGGGGCCTTGACACTACACCTCAGAACGATATTGTCATGACCGATTCGGAGGCAGGGATTCTGTACCGCTTGACGGCTGACTTTAAAAAGGGAGAGTTAAGGGCAGTGAAAAAGGTGTATTCTGATCTGTGTAACCCAAGAAAAGTGGCAGTTTCTCAGACTTCTGGGGCTATTACAGTAATAGAGCATTTGATGGCAAAAGGTCCAAGCTTCGGCTGCACAAGAGTGAAAGTCTTCAGTGCGGATATGAAGCTCATTAGTCAGGTGGATAGTTTTGGCCTGAATCTTGTCTTTCCTTCCAAACCCTATGCCAGTGCTGTGGCCTTCAACAAGGAAGGGCACGTAATAGTAACCGATGCCTATAACCAAGCAGTATTTGGCCTTGGCAAACCTGAAGAGTTCCCTGTATGTAAGCCCGTCATTACCCAGGGTCTATCCTACCCCCTGGCATTAGTTTACACTACAAATAATTCTCTGGTTGTCTTGGATGGTGGGGATCATTCTTTAAAAGTATATAGCACCTACTCAAGTATTGGGGGAGGGTGCTTTCTGGCAAACTGAGGCAAGCTGTTCCAGTCTACAACCCAGCACAAGGCAATATATGGAAAGTTCTTCATAACCCCCCAGCTCCTCTAGCAAGGAATAGAAACCTCATCCATGTCAACCAACACTGAAATTCATCCTGCTGATATGAAACAGACATAGGTCAGCTATCCTCTTAAAACTGATTGCAGTACATAGTAAGAATTTTAAAATTCTGAGAGCCAGTTTGGTGTAGTGGTTAAGAGCATGGACTTTAATCTGAGAGAACCAGGTTTGATTCCCCACTCCTCCATGTGCAACTGCTGGAGTGACCTTGGGTCACTTACAAGTTGTCTCAGCACTGTTCTCTCAAGAGCAGTTCTCAAAAGAACCCTCTCAGCCCCACCTACCTCACAGGGTGTCTGTTGTGAGGAGGGGAAGGGAAAGGAGATTGTAAGCTGCTCTGAGACTCCTTCGGGTAGTGTGGGGTGGGGTATAAATCCAAACTCTTCTTTTTCCTCCTCTTCTAAAACTGAGACCTGCCCGAGAAGGTCAGGAAAGCCCCCACTTTCCTGCTTTTCTGCAAATTATGAAAAACTGAACCATTCAGGAGGATTTTTCTGTGCAGGTAACAGGGTTGCACTGTACAAAATAGTATTACAAACCTGCTTGGATAAATGATTAGGGACTGTGGGTCTGTACTGCTGCTATTGTAAGTTTATTACAATCTAAGATCAGCATATATATATAAGCAATTATGTAAACATATATATTTGTTACATATGTTAATTAGTAATGTAAGCATACCTTACCACGTATCTGAACATGTTGATTAGAAGTGTAAACATACGTTAACAAAATAAAATCCATTAAAATTGTTAAAACGAAGCAGTAATCTTCTGTCTAATTAGACATGCCAACACAAAATCTCATTACCTTGACAATAATTTTATTACAACAATCAGCAAGGAGAAAAGAAGTATAAAGTAAGTAGGATCCTATTTGTGTGATTTCTGTACAGCTCAGTGTGTCATGTGAATAATTATGCTATGCTTCAGTCCGTTCTGGTGGTTCCAGACCTAAATCCTAACGCATCAGTTACTGAATGTTCCATTTTTGTGATTGTCTCACTGTGTGTAATCGGCCCTGACTCCCTGTGAGAAAGTTGAACTATAAATAACGTAAATAAAAATAAAATTTCAGTGTTGGGTTTGAGAGAGGCTCAAGTTGATCTGCAGTGTACATGGTTCAAGTGAAAGCACTCTTTCTGCCTAACCATACGTAATACTGCACCAACCAGAAAATGAACTACAACCTCTGCATCCATACAGCGCTATAATTTATAAAACTGAACTCATTAGCCGATAATTGGAAATGTAACACAGGGAAGCAGCATTAATCTATTGTGCTACTACAGCCAGTGTCTTCACTAGACATGTTGCAGTGTGAACACACAAATCAGTTGAGCTGAATAAATCAGGACAAAGAAGGGGGCATCTGGGTGGGCAAATGGTGGCAAACATGGGGGCCTCTTACTTCAGTGCCATTGTAACTTTTTCAAATATGCTTCGATGCCTCCTAAACTGGTCCCGCATGCCTAGTATCTAGAATTATGCCTTTTCAATGGTGTTGTACTGAATGTATCTATCAGAGGACAGACCTACTTCATTTGCCTTCTGCTGGATGTCTCTGCAGTGCACGTGGTTCCACACATCACTATAACAACACCTGTGACAGATTGCTTGTGTGTTTAAATTAATATTATTGCGTCCACTGTAGATTTAAGATACCATGATTGAGACTTCTGGTCTATGGCAGCGTGCTGAGCAGTCGCACCTCCCTGACCTCACGAGGGTGAAGCTGCGCACCGGCAGAAAGGGGGGGCGAGGCATCGCACCCACCCCCAGAGGCCTGGCAAAAGGCTCCTGGCCAAGGGACTCTTGAGAGGTCACCTCTTTGCCAGCGCGATGCTGGGAAATCGAGGAGCTTCTCCATCCCCATGGTCCCTGTGCCGAGTGTCCATATGGAATTAGTGGCGCTGACTGGGACAAGCATTGGAGATCAAGCGGCTAAAACCGAAGGCAAACCAAAGTCGGATGACCAAATATGAACGTGAGTCGGAATAGAGCGGTTTTGCTAAGCTAAAAGAAAGCTCCCTCACCCCAAGGACCAGAGAGTAAAGTGAGCGGGGGAGGTATCCCTCCCATGCGCATAAACTTATAAGCGAGAGCGGGGGGGGGAGCGGAAGAAAAAGCAGTAAAAACTGTTGGAAAGACTTACCAAGGCGCGTACGAGCGTGTGAGCGCATATTCAGAGCCTCTCCCCGGTCCCAGGGATGCCCCCCTGCCAGTCCCCTGGAGAGCAGCGGGAAGGGTCTCTCTTCCTCCCTCCAAGGCGCCTGCAAATGCTGGCCAAAGGCGGCGTCTCCCCACCAAGCTCTGCCTTCCACCTTTTTTTAGCAACCGTTGATGACCATTCTGCGCCAACAGAAAACAGTCCATTCTGCGCCAACAGAAAATCAGTTTGCAGGAAGGGAAATGTCGTGGCTTTGAGAAGCAGGCAAATGAAACTAACGCTCTCTCCCCCAATTTCCCTCCTCCGAGAGCTCTTCGTCTCCTGCTCCTCTAAGAGGAGGACGGCTGTGCTTCTAAGCGCACTGAAAGACCCAGTGGCGCGCGGCAGTCACCCACCCGGTCAGGGGCGTAGACTTTCCAATTTTCCGGGGGGGGCTGGGGCTGGGCACAAGACAGTCTTCGTCGCACCCTCCGGGGCGCAGCCCGCTCGCCATGGCCCAGCTGGGGAAGCGCCACAGCGGCAGCCGGGCGAGCCAGGCAGGGTGCTGCAGCAACAGCAGGCGGAGAGGAGAGGCGAGGGGGGAGGCGGAGGAGCAGGAGGCGGCGCTGCGGAGGAAGCCGCGTGGGATGGAGGGATGGAGGGGCGGGCGGGCGGAGGGGGACAGAGCTGCCGGCTGCAAAGCGCCTGGATGCGGGGAGAGGGGGAAGGAGGAAGTGGAAGCGAGCCTCCCCCCCCCGCTTGCGCGCAAGGTGCCGGCTGCGCGCCCGCGCAAAGAAAAGGGTGGACCTGGACTCTGGATTTACAACTTTCGGGGGTAGGGAAGACGCGGGGGGGCACCCGGCTGGAGATGGCCGGCGGCTGCGCTCCGCGGGCGGG